AAAAAATTGATCATTATTTATTACACAAAAAGGAACAACTTTTGTCATGAACATTTTCTTCTATTTGCCAATGTTTCCCATAAAAAAAGAAAATCATCAAAAAAACCACTTAATTTGTTTATAACTATTAATTGCACGCACCTACATAAAAAATACCACCGGATTCGGATTTCTCATACCCGAAAACATAAGAAAACACCTCAAAACCTTACCGCACTAGAAGTGCACACGGGAAGGGGGTATTGCGTGTGGACTATAAGGGACATGCAAAATTTTTGTCACGACCTTGTTTGTAGTCCTCAATTTGAAAGGAATTAAATGATTCACTCTTGGTTTTGTGATTAATAGCTTGGTTTAACTCAAGATTTACATCGTTTTCAATTGGATTTATTATCTGAATTTGATTTAATGTTATTATTTTTTAGTTGTTTTGAATATAATTTAAGGCATTATTTGATAAAAAGAAGGAGGGTACTTATCATTTTAAGTTTGGATTTCCAGTGAAAACTAGCACGATAAATTGATTTAGTAACAATAATAGTTTGGAATTCAATGACACGGAATAAATGTTTGATATAAATTCGAGTTGAATTGAGGTTGATTCACTTGAGTATTTACTGAGACCGAGCAATTAATTTAAATTTTGGATCGATTGAATGTTTTGATGCGTCCACACTGACGGCTCAACGTAAAGTGTCCTTTTCCTTTTTCGTATGGTTACGACAGTCTTCAAGTAGTAGGACCCGGGTGTAAGGGTCTCATTGCAGGAGCATTTTCAACTTTTCTGTTTTTACCTGTTGTTTCTATGAACAGAAGGATACAGTACAGTTTTTCTCCTGCGCTGGAGACAGTAAATACTAAAATATAACATTTTGTGGTGATATTCGGTAGCTTTAGAATGACAAACCCATGATATTTGTTGGAAATTAACAATTTGGAACATTTCGTGAATACTTTCAAGATAATGAATTCAATATTCTGTTCTACGACGAAACCCTCTATCTCATATTTTTTGTAATGCAGAATCCAATAGAAAAATGGAGACTTCTCTTCTGGATGGGAGCGACAGTTTGCATCTCTTGTATGGCGATATTTATTGCTGGTGGTAGTGGAAAAGTACAGAGTTGGAACGAATTGAAACCGAGGGAAGAGGGTGATGCAGCCGGTCGCAGATAATAGTCCAAATTCTGCAGATACCCATTGTGATATGATAATTTTCATGAATGAATTTTTTAAGAAATATTTCCTGTATCATTTTCCATGAAAGAAAATACTGATCTCCACGGCAATGTAGTCCAGGAAGCGTTGAATTACATCCAACAGGCTTTACATAACACAATAAGTACAAATGTACAATTATGGTGCAATAATACCTAAGACGAGTGCATGTATGAAGGACAAATGCTCATTCATGTTTGATGAATTTTATTTGAATTAAATTATTTATTGAAATTCACGAAATAAAATCGATTGAAGTATTGTTTTTAATCTTCGTGGGTTAAAGTAAAAGATTTTAGACACAGAGACACATGTTGTGAGCACATTTTTTTCCGACGAGTTCAGCGTACTCCTTCACTTTTTCTATGTCGTCTTTTTTGTCACGCATGAGGCGAGTATTGCGAATGTCACCGTATAATCTCTGACCTCGATAGTACACACGAACCTGAATGAAAAAAGGCAGTTATGAATTAGGATTGTAGAAGATCTTGAGATGTTTTAGATAATTGAATACGAAAAAATTCGTAGAAAACGGATTCGCTGTAACATTTTATTGGATTTTTATTAAACTATGGATTTTTGTCCTATTCTATTGAAATATTTTGTACAGAAATTCCTCGATTCAAATTTAACAAGTTTTTTTGTTTGATTTTTTCGTGAAAAACGAAAAAAAAAATAGCGGACAACTAGAAAAATTCATCTCAAAGAATTTCTGTAGAATATGGCTCAATCGGAAAAGTTGAATAGAAAGATAAATGATGCGTTGGTTAATTAAAATCGCTCTGTTATTGTTACATTTCGTGTGTTTTCCTGCGATATTTACCTGTCTGAGGTCGTCTGCACTCATCACACCGTCTTCGTCGAGGGCGTCAATGTCTTCATTAAGACGCGAGTATTTATGTTTGTCCAATTTTGGTGTACATTTCTCGATAGGATGCCAGGTGTACGTCTCAGGACAGAGTAGAAAAGATGGCTTTATTTTAGCTTTGTACCGCATCTTGGGAATTTCGTGGATGTAGTAGCCCATGTAGTAGTATTTGAGGTCTGGCACTAATGCATGCAATTCTCGGACCAGTCGGACTTCGATTAAAGAGCTGAATAAATTTAATATTACTTTTTTCCATCTGAAGGAGGTGCACCAATCATGAAAGATCTCGTTAGCTTCCTAATTAATCAACGAGTTTCTAGAAATTCCTAACGAGTTGCGGATTGCGATTGTCTTTTTTTAAAGAATTTCCCAGAGAAATGGACGATTGAACTCTTTTAATTTCTTTTCATTCATTCAATTCTATTAATTTTATTTCGGGTAGATCTTATTATTTTTACCTGAAAGTGCCAAGTGAAAGAAATGAGTATTCAGGATCATAAAAAAGATAAACGCTGGAGACACAGTAGGGCAGAATATCAATAACTCCAACGGCTATCAATTTCCCATTAAGACGATATTGTTGGTGGAAGGAGCCGTATCCCAGTGGTGGACCACGAGCAACTTTCCAGTGCTAGAGCCAAACAATGAATGGTAAAAAATATTCAAGTTCAAGTTTATTACTTTGTCTGGGGTTTTGGGTTTAGCTTCAATAATACTTTTTGATCAGAACTTGATAAGAGAGTTTTGTACTGCAAGTGTTGAATTTTTCATTGAGGCGTTGAACAAACACAGTAAAGGAAGCATGTGGATGACATTTAGGTTTCGTAACTGGGACTTGCATTTCTATTTCCAATGGCGAATAAATGTGTAAACAAGTGGGAAATTGCTTTTGTCTTCTTATAGAAGAGCTATTTGCCCGAATGGTCATTTTGCATCATTTTCATCTATCGTATATTATTTATCGTTTTATATTATTTTGTTGAATTGAATTATATTTCTTATTTAATGAATTGTGTTGGATTTTTTGTGAAAATTCTTGTGTAAATTAAATGCAAGAATGATGCTGAAAAACTTTTTGCCTACATAATTGAATGAATCTGAAACATCGTATTTCAAGAAACCATCGGAAAATTCACTTTCAGAAAATTTTTTGAAACATTCGAAATTTGGAAAAATCATCATAGAAATTAAACCAACGGATCAGCTATCGTAATGATCTTCTAACTCCAACAGGATGGCATTGAAACAAATATGGTAAGCTATGATGGAATTAATTTGAAGCATGATATCCAAAGATCTCCAAAATTCCCATTTTCAAAAAATACGAAATTTTTGAAAATTATTCGATGAATCATAACAGCGATTATTACTATCATCTGCATCTTTAAACTCGATCAGAGGGACGTCGAAACAATTTTTCAAAGCCATTCAAAGCCATCAATGAATTTAAAACATTTTTGTTTCAGTTACCGTAGGACAATCGAAAATTCTAAAAATCGAATAATGAATGAAATTTCAATTAATGCCGATAGATGGAATTAATTGAATTCTACGGATTGTTTAGCGATTAATTAAAGAAAAACAAGGTCACATACACCCATACATACATACACACACATACATACGGACACTCCAAAAATAGAATTTTCGGACTTTTGAATCACAATGGATTGATACACCATAAAAGATTCAAAACATGAATTTAAACGGTTACAAAGCTTTCATTCGGAAGCGAAGATTAAATAAGAATAAGAAATTGGTCAGTTGTTAGATAACACATCGATACAGCCTGTTTTAATCAAGAGGTACTCACGATCAACGGACTCTTCCCCAAAAAATTGATAAACGACTCCTTATCTCGATCCTCAGGTTTATCATGATGCACAGCCTTCTGATATTTCTTAAAAAGTTCGACACTCTCATCAAGAGTCTCCATAAACTCCTCAGACGGCGCTCTGACTAATTTCAATTCTAACTTATTCTGTCCATCCTCTAAATTCGGCAAAAGCTCCTCGATGGGTCTCGCCATACTGGGTTTCTTTTTTCTCCTGTAAAAATCTTCGATCTCTTCCAGAGTCTTACCCTGCGCCAGCAGCCGATTTCTAGCCCTCTCGATTCTCATCAGCTTCTTCTTCCTGGGTGGCCCTTGACTCGGTGGGATTTTCACATTCTGCGAACGGTTTTCGTGCACCATCGGTTGCACTTGAGCGTTGTCTCTGTCATCGGGGGATTCTCTCTTGATTTTTGACTCAGTGACGTTCTCTGGACATTGGGATAATGTTTTCTCGCAATTGGTGGTGAGTACCATTGGCTCGTCCTGGAGAATGTTCTTTTGGGCGCGCGCTGCGTACTCTGCAAATTCTGCCTCTGGGAGATCATCGGCATCTGGAGGAAAGGGACATTTGACAAGGAAAGAGAACCTTGTCATTACTGAAATTCTGTGGATTTCTGTTGAACTTTCTCTTATTTTTTGACTCATTCTGCTGCAAAATTCCGCAGCTCGTCAGCGAATTTTTCAATGAAAAATGTCCAGTAGAAACTATTTTATAGGAAAAAACAGGAAAATTGAATCGTTCTATGCGTTTTCTATTCAGACATTTTCTATGAGAATTTCTTGACATGAATTTCTTAAGTTCTGTCGACTTTACTTTGCTTATCTTTTCCTTAAGAAAATCAAACAAAAAAACTTGGAAAACTTGAGCCGAGGAATTTCTACAGAAAATATCTCAATGGAATAAGTCGTATAAAGATATCATATTCTATTGACTTGTTAAATAGAATATTCTCCATTGAATATTTCTATTGACAAAAAACGTGCAGAATTTTTCAATAGGATCAGACAAAAACTAATAGAAAGTCCAATAAAAATCCAATAGAATTTCGATTTCAGGATATTATTTTTTCTATCAATGCTCGAAAGGATAAATTCCATGTGCAACAACATATTGACCCCTTATTCTCCCTAGAATACTCACAAATCTCAGGTAATTGATTCCTACAAGTTTTCTTGTTCTTCCCCCCCTCATTCCCCTCAATATTCCTTTCGCCATCCTTCAAGAATTTCGTCATTCTCTTGATAACTTTTTTCTGAGATTTTGAAACCACAAAGTCCAATGCGTCACATCTGCGGAAGTTGTTTCTCATTGTGATCACGTTTGCAAAAATTTTTTTATTGATAAAAAAAATTTGCAATTTGGATGATTAAAAATACTCACTTGATTGTGTACATGGGACAGCACGTCTCGCTGTTGACAGGTTTGTAACAATAACACCCACTCCTCCTCCACCCCCTGTCAATCAAATTCTGGTAGTCCTCGACGGTGAGATAGTGGGCCCACATTCCTAGAATTATTTCCGTTTTGTCTTCTAAATTTTGATAGTGAAAGGATGGCTGATTTTGAGAATTTGGTCTCACCGTGACGTTCATAACTGCTCAACTTTTTGCAATAGCCGCACGAGTGTTTTCTTGGCACACTGTCGTAGTAGTATTCAACAATACTGAATGTATCCTTATCCATTTCAGTTAATTTATTGATTAATCTATAATGTCATAGTTTTTATTGCGGGGAAATTTACAATTTTTGTTGATTAAACTTTATTACACTCTCCGCGACGTAATAAAAATAATCATAACCACCCATATCAGTTGATCACCCCTGTTCGATGCGAGGTCCGTTTGTGAATGGAATGAATGCTGCCATCTCTCAATGCAGAATGACAATAATAAATTATTGTGACCGATTGTGAACAGAAATAACTGGGCTCCTCCTCTACCGACAATGTTTGACCGACTGCAAGTCTCCTGGGCTACTGTGGAAATGGGCCAATGTACTTAAGGGGCGGGGGAGATAACTGTGTTTTTGGGCTATTGTGCCATCTCGTTCTCACCAGACCATATGGGCTACTGTGAAAGAAGGAACGAAATCCCGCCGAATTCCGCGGGGGGGGGGAGGCGTTCGTACTTCCGCAACTGTACACATCACAACTGTCCACAGATTTGTGAAAAATGTGAGGGAACAACTGTACACAACCCATCTGTGCACGGTCCTTGCAGTCGGTCAAACAGTGTCAGTAGAGTAGAAATTGCATTCGTTTTATTTGCAGTCGATACTAATTATTGATGGCGCCATGTGTCTCACTACACCACAAATGATCGTCGGAAAGATCCGATCAATTAGCCCCTCATGTATAGATTTTCCAAATTTTTTTTTTCTCAGTGAAGTAGTTTTGAAGAAACTTGATCTATACATGAGGGGCTAATTGATCGGATCTGTTGCAGAAGTTCGAACGCCCCCCCCCCCTCCCCACCGAATTCTTCCATTGGCTACGAACGCAGTCGCCCTCTGTATAAGATCACCAAAATATCACCCCGCTCATTCGCTGACAGGTATCAGCTGTTTCAGTAAACAAAGAGTCTCCAGCTGAGATGGACGTCGTGGATCAAGCAGCTAAACCTCCATCGCCATCTCCGTCGTCTCATAATTTTAGCTCGGAAGACGAGGAGCTCCAAGAGAACTCGAAGAATAGCTCTCCACGTGGATCAATCAGATCTCTAGCTTCCGTTTCTGACTCTGAGGATGGGGACAATAATTGGTATTACCTGCCGGATCCCATTCTGCTGAGTGTCTTCCAACTTTTGACTCCAAGAGAAGTCGTTACTGCCGGGGAGGTCTGTAAATCGTGGAATCGAGTGTCACAGGATGAACTTCTCTGGAAGGAATTGTTTTATAGGACGTATAAAATCGAAACGAGTGTTGGTATAATGCCAGGTATGTCATGGGTTGAGATGAGCGAAAGAATAATCGAGAGTAGTAGGTTAATTGTGAATTTTAATTATCAACTGTGACACTCGTTGATAACAAGAAAGACTTACAGAAACTATTGAAAAATCTTTTCGGTAGGAAATTCGTTGGCTTATAAAATATTATTTTTTAAAATTGTATTTCCATTTCGTCTTCACAATTACATTAATTTAATTTTATACAGTCTTATTCTTATATATATATTTTTTCTTTAATTCACAAGTTACAACATTGACTGAAGAGGAATAATGTCAAAGATAAATAAAAAGTGTTTTTTTTTGTTATCAAAACAAACACACGAAAACACGTCATTCGAAATCTCATTCGAGTAATAGAAAAATCTCTCCATGTATTCCTGAAAATTTTTAGGAATTTTGAATTTTTGAATTTTGAATTTTTTGAGGAATAGGGATATTTTTGAATTTTATGATCTAATTTTAACGAGAAGAAATGAAGGAAATGCCAAAACACGTGAGCGGAAAGAAATAAAAAAATTAAATTTTCAATGTCTCTGGAAAGTTTTAAAATCGATATATTTTCCCGAATAATGGATGAATACCCATAAATTCGATGTCTATCCTTGTCTTTTGATAGAATGAATAGAATAAATAACAGAATTTGAGAATTAGAGATTGAAAATTTTATCGGATTATTATTATTATAATTATAATAATTCATTAATATATTAGGGATTTTTTTTTTACAACAACGAAGCCCTTCTTCTCCAATTAATCACCCAAGCATAATTTTCACACCGAAATGTTTATAAAATTTCCCGCTAGGTAAAACCTCGTGGCTTGGAGAATTCAAAAGATTGACATATCACACTCCGCTATTAGAAACCGAAGTTCTTAGGGAACATTCTCATCAGGTTCTACATGTCAGCTTCTCCCATAATGGAAAAATGTTTGCCACCTGCTCCAAGGACGGTTATGTCTTGGTATTTATCATTACAAATTGTATGGAGCGATTTGATTTCGTCATTTATTGCACTGTTTTATCATGTATTTATTTCCTTTCTTCAATAGGTATGGGATAGTACATATCCAGTCACGATCAAATACCAGCACGATATGAGATTGTTCAGTTGGAAATACACGCAATTTTCTCAATTCAATTCTTCTGATACATTACTGTTGGTCTCTGGAGTCCATTTTGGTACTTCGCACAGCACTTCTGGAGAAATTGCAGTATTCAGATTGGCACGTGAGTGATTGAGTCTCAATTTAATTGTAAATAAATTTAGTGTCAAGTAATGAATCACAACAAACCGATTCTTTCGTATTCTCCTCAATATTCATTTGTTCATTTGAAATTTCAACTAAACTATCTCTGTAATGGTCTATTTTAGCACTAAACTTTTGTCCAAGTTTCTCTCACTGAGCTTAATCATTGTTCAGATAAATATACAATTACTCTAATTTTCACATCAGTTTTTTATATTTTATAAATTCGTTATTGTCAAGTTGTGCGCTATCATTAATAGTGCCTGACAAACATTGAGAAGTTGAAAAAAGTGATGAAACTTACTGTCTCTATTATTAATGCAAAAGTGCATGTGCTTGAGTTTCTATTATCGAGTGCCAAGAAAAATAAGACAAAGAAATCAGTCAACAACTCTTTCAATATGAATTCAAACTTAGCGGAACAACGAGAAGAATGACAACGGATATCACATACCATTATTTGTTTTAGCTGGCTTCGATCTTCAATGTAGAGTAGTTAATAAGCCTTACGACATATTTGGCACATGGTACAGTGAACGTCACTTATTGAGCGGTGATTTACACTGGCTTGCCCACCTAGTCAGCTCTAGCGTACTTTGGCTCAATAAGGCTAACCAGGAATCGGCGAGCGAACACGTGCCCATCATGAATCAACTTTATAGGTAATTTGCATAGTCATTAGCGTTTAATAAACAATGGAATAACCAATGATAATGTTCATCAGAATGAGATTTGGCAAATTGCAGATTAATTGCGTTAAAGACAAAGGGAATTCAAATTTTGGAAATAAATGCCATGTAATTAATGTTTAGGGGTGAGTGAGTGAGTGAGTGAGTGGGGTGAGTGAGATGCAATTCAAGCAAAAAATTTTTTTAATCCATTTTTTGCTTCCGAATGGAAGATTGCAATCTTTCGATTTTCACATTCTCTAATTTTGATTGGAAATTATGTAGAATGGTCTGAAAGGTAAAAATGTGAAGTTTGGCGACCATGCCTGTATGTGACTACATCCACCGCCACCTTCCCGGTGGTCAATTTTTAGAAAATTGAGTAATTAAGTGACAGTAAATTAAAGTAATTCGAAAAATCTGAAATTTTGTCAAATTATAGGTCCTAATGAGGACTAGCTCTGTGCAAAATTTCAGCCCGGTCGATCTAATAGTTTTTGAGAAAAAGCGATTCATTGTTAAGTCGTTTTCCGCAAATGTCTTCAAAACTGGTGGACCGATTTCGATTTTTTTTTCAAAATATTCATTTCAGCGCCTTCTATCTAAACCAAACAAAACATATATACCCGTTCGTACAAAGTTTTCGAGATATTCCCGTTTTTCCGTTTTTTCATTAAAAACTTTGTAAACACTAGCTTGTGCAAAAATCGAGATATCAACTTGAAATTTGGACAGAAAATATGTATATCAGCTCATACGAAGTATTCGAAACCTTGGAATTTTTATAGCACCCATCGAGGTGATAGTAACCATTCGAATTTTTTGCTACTAGTGAGTGTTGTGAAGCTATAAACTTTTGTAATATTTCAGACCATTCGGAAGCGCGCCATCTATTTATTGAAAAAAAAAAATTAAACATGATTCAGTGACATGCTCACGGTCCCTTGCTTGTTTTTTATTAATTTTTGTTTATTATTAGGAGTACTGATGAGAATAATAATTTTCTATTCGGTACAAGAGATCACGCGGTGCGAAAAAATCCCTGATATTCGAAACCCCTATATAGCACATCAACTACCTCCACAGGTGAATCCCACTCCCCTGTTAGATCTCGATCTCAGCGTCCACTAGTCAGCTTGTTCCCTGACTCTCCAGCAGTCAAACTAAAACCTTGTGATCGCTGAGTCTATGTTTTCTCCTCATTCGAAATTTCCGAAGTTTTTTCATATATTTCTTATATCGAGACGACAATATCAATAATTTTCACTAATTTTATCCACAGTTCTCGTTTGAAGTAATATGATTTATTTAATCTATAATTCAATTGATTAGATTAGGGCGATTTCACTTTTATTTTTTCATTTGATTGAAATTCAGCATCACATTTTCCTTCCCCCCCTGCCTTTCTCTGGATTTTGCTGTTTTATTTTCTTTTCAATTAATCCATTGACAAAATCTTCCTCCGACAAAACTTCTGAGTAATTTTCCATTCTATTAAATGAAACATTATTATTTTCATCAGTACCGCCAATAATAAACGAAAGTTGATTAAAAAAATTGCTAATAAGAAATTTTTTTTTGCTTGAATTGCATCAAACAATAGTTTTTCGACTGTTTCATTTTCCCCACGTTTTATTTTACGCCACTCTCCGCTATTGATTCAGAAAATACGATGCGAAACGGAAAGAATGCAATCTTTGTTTTTTATGGGAAACAATGATTTGCCAAATATCCTTCGAGCTTCAAAATCAATAGAGCCCTTCTCGAAAACTTCGCTGCCTGAGATCAAGTGTGTCAAATCCCATTGAAAAAAAACCTCGCGCAAGTTGTTGACATTTTTGCAACATGTTCATAGCTACGAAAGGAAATCATCGGGAAATACCGAATTATATGGCAACTCTTGGAGTATTCCTACTGAGAGTTCTCGGAACTTCGACAGTTGCTTGCATTAGTCGTTAATGAACTAATTTCTCAAAGAACGACAGACCAGCCGATGGAGATACTGATCCGTGTTAGAGAGGTAGGTACAAACCTCCACCCGACGTGTTTGTACCTACCTGACGCAATTTTATGATTCAGTTGCAAAAGTGACTCATTGGAAAATCTTTTGTCTTCGTATAGCACAGCTATTTTTGCAAATACATTCCGAATGGTCATTTTACATATCAAGTTTGCTTCTGCATGGAAGCATTGAAATCGTTCAATTTTGACATTTTCTAATTTTGCTTGGAAATTACGTAAATGATCTGAACCGTAAAAATACGAAAAAACTTGGTCAATAAAACATTTTTTTATCGTTATTTTACATCGCTTTGACCCGGTTAGGGTATACTGCGATGATGATCAAGACTTTAAATGGTTAGATCGCACCATTCTACCCGGCCGGGATTTGAACTCGGAACCTTTCGCATGTGAAGCAAATCAATAAAACATGCTCAAAACAACTTGGTAAAAAAAAAAAACTTGAAGAAAAAAAAATTCGAACATCCTCAACTTCAAAAAACTTGAAAATAAAACTTTTAAACTTTTAACGTATAAAGAAAATTGCGAAAAAAGTTTAAAAAGTTTAAAAAAATCGCATATTCGGATTTTTCAATCCATATTCAGTTACCCTAAAAATTTGAAACTTAAATTTGGAAAATTAAATTTCCACGATTACAATTGTTGGTTCCCCTTCCAAGGAACCAAACAAAACGGATAACAACACTCTGAGATTCCAAAAACAAACACAGATTTTATCTATATTCTTACAAAAGACGAGATAACCGAAAGGTTTTATTGACGGAAGTTCAGTTTGACAAAAATTCAATAAACCAAAAATTCATTTTCCCAAGTTGAATTTAACCAGGTTTTTTTAACTAAGTTTTTTTGACGAAGTTTTTAGACGTGCTCCGCCTATGAGAAATCATTTGTAATTATTATTTTTCCATTTTCATGAATTGGAGATTCTACAACTCTAATGCAGCATCAATCCGCGCAGTGATGGTAGCCAACTGCCTTTGCCCTGAGCCCACAGAAACCGAACAGCAAGAAAATCAACAATCGACTTCCACTGAAAAAGAAGAACGAGGAAATCCTCCAAGCCACCGAGACATTTCTGCCTCTTCCAGTAACACCCAAACCAACCAAGTGACCGAAATCCTTCATCACGCGTCCTCCAGACTGATGTACAGCACTCTGGAAGGCGGTTTCATGAACTGGAAACGTTTAGGTGACGGTTTTGAATACGCGAGTCCAATAAGATACAACCAGGAGTACAGACAGGTGGAGATGGAGAAAGAAACAATGGACAGTGACAGTGAGTTCGAGAATCAGTGGGAGGATGATGAAGAGGCATCGACGTCCTCTGAGACCGCTGAAGACGGTGACTCAGATGATTTGGCGGATAATCCAGAAAAATTTCTCATTTTTACAACTGGGTCGAAAACTTATACGCCTCATCAAGTGGGATTCAAGAGGATGAAAGCTGTGAATTTCCCGAGACGACTGGATCCTGGACCCTCTCTTAGAGAACGTTTAGCTGAACGAGAAAGAGAACGAGAGAGACAAAATTCTGGTTCTTCAAGGCCTGAGCCTAATTGGCTGGATTATGATTCAGTGGCTGAAAAATTCGATAAAGTTGATCATTTAATTGATTTACATGGACATATTATAGGCATGGGGCTGTCACCAGATCACAGGTACAGTGAAGAATATTTTTTCAGGGTTAAACAAGTTTCACCTGACAGAAAGTGTAGGGCCGTTCCCATTGATTTGCATTGTTTTTTTTTCTTTTTTATTTTTGTGAAAGGTATCTCTACGTAAACACGAGGCCTTGGCCAAGAGGATATGTCATCACGAATCCCCTACAGCCTCCACCTATTGCTCAAGAAATAGATATTCATGTGATTGATCTTGTGACCCTGAAACAAGTTGGTACAATGCTGAGAGCACATAAAGCTTATACACCTAATAATGAGTGTTTCTTCATTTTTCTGGACGTTTGCGATGAATATGTAGCCAGGTGAGATGATCATCGTAACATTTATACTTATTGAAAAAAATAAATTGATATATATAAATATAATGATGATATAAATATAATAGAATCGGCGTTGAATCTATTCGAAAGCATATTGGTAATTCATTAGCGACAATATAAGAAGAACATAGGTCATTTGTACATAATGCAACTATTCACTTCTTTTTCAGTGGAGCTGAAGATAAACATGGATATCTCTGGGACAGACATTATGGAGTTTGTTTAGCAAAATTTCCTCATTCAGATGTGGTTAATGCAGTTGCATTTAATCCTAGGGATTCAGAAATGCTCGTGACCACCAGTGATGATTACGATGTAAAAGTGTGGCGCAGTCGAGCTACAGTGAAAGCTCTAGGGCTCGATGAAAATGCATTCAGGCGAGGAATGGAGGTACGAAAGAGACGTAGGTACCATCGGAGCAATTGCAGTGTTGACTGATTGTGTGAAAAGTGTAGACTGAATGTCAAGTGCCGTGTAGATAAAAAAGCCAATAATTATCAATCTCAAAACTTCATTGTTTCTCGGCTTTTTAAATTACACTCCTCATGCTGAATCAAATCTCTCGAGTGATTGATGAATGTTCCATGGTATATCTCGCTATGAATACATCTTGTGAACAACATAAGACAGCTGTGCAATGGGTGTTGATTTTCTTAAAGTGATTCATTTCATTTTTTGGATGTATTTATTACGTGCTACATTGAATTTTGGTTTTCTAAATACCATTTTGTAAATAGATGTTAACAATGAGTGATCGAATATTTGATTAGCACGTAAAAACTCATTTTTATTCCTTTTCAGAAATGCAGAGTTGCATAAACAATTTTAATTACAGAAAACGTTAACAATTGATGATTTCTTTGCAGCATTTGAGCTACTCGTGATGTTAAATTTAAATAGAGCACAAAAATATATTGTTTAAGAACATTTGAGTTTATAATTCTTCATTTAATCGAGCAATCCAATGAGAAAATTATAAAAGATGAGTCCACCCTCTTCTGATTATTTTACAATGTCAGACATTTTCTGTAAGGAATTTTATAGGTAAAAAATGTTTTTCGGTGTTTGTCTCCAAACTCATTAATTTTGGGTCTATTTGCAGAAGAATGTGCATGAAATTGTTGGACTCACCTTTTTTCATCATTTCGTTACAAAATCGATACTAAATAGTTGAAGAGTTGAGGAAAATCGATTGAATACTCTATATTTCAGAGATCTTGAACTTTTTCTATTAAATAGTATAATGGCTTTATTGAATTATCGCAGAGAATATCGACATTCGTGAATGTTTTGAATTATTATTCAATAGATAAAGTTAACTGTTACTTTCAGCCGACGATTGTGAATCGAATGGCTCTGATCTTAATGTTGGAAAACTTCCACAATATTAGTATTTTTAAACACCAGCTTATTTCCACGTTGTGATCTACAGAATTTTAATCAAATTTTAATTGATATACTTTTCAAGTAAGTGAACATTGGATTGTAAATTCAACCAGGTTTGTATTGTATATTGAAAAACTGCGAGCGTCCAAGCTGAATAAACTGATGGAAAACGTCATTAATAAATTAATTAAATATTAAATTGTATAAACTAAACTACTGTAAATTTTATACAATCCAGTGAATTCAGTCCTAGGAGGTCGGTGCGGTTTCAGGTGGAGCCTGTAACAATTGGTTCTGAAACAGGAAGAACATTTCATTTTTTATTAAACAACCCAGAGATAACGGGCTATCTATGCAGGTGTATTAAAGAATCGTATGTACCACTCAGGTGGTAGACGCAATATGAATATTATTTCGATGCAATCGATGGGTTTTCAAGTCATTTAAAGCTGGTTAAATTCTCTAGATATTTTCATTAAACTTGTGATGCACCGTCAAAAATGATAATTTCTTGAAATTTCACTGTTTTTGCTAGAAAAATGATGAGATTTGCATTCTTTCTGCAACCCAGACGTGTTCATATAACCCAAGTTTCACTGAATTTTTAAGAATATATTCGAAAATTTTAACAATTAATACATATGCATTAAGGGCATTAAGGCCCAGATGGGATTATCTTTCGAATGTTATCTCGATTGTTTTTCTATCTTCATAATCTAAAATATATCATAATTTCCACCGGATTTTACATCACGTGGGTGTCCCTAAAAATTATGATTGCGCAATAAAAACAACCGAGGAAATTATAAATGGATAATTTATAAATATATATATATAAATATAAATCATGGCAACTAATGATCTAACAGGCATTGGTTACTGAGGTAATTAACGACTGAATAGACGTTAAATACTGCAAATTATTAATTTGCAATTTCCTCTCTATTGGGTTTATGTTCCAATATTATTCAAAACGCTCATTGGAAATGTCCAATTGTTTTCAACGCATTTTTGATTGTACAATTATAATTTTTGAAGACTCCTGGACTATGTAAAGCGGAATGGCAATTGAAAACCATTTCAGATTATCAAAATAAAAAAAACCCAGTTCACGTTCGAAAGATAATACACACGCGACTTTAAATTTGAATTCATGTCGATGGAAGTCACCGAAAAACACTGCGACGCTAAATGATTGAAATCTTTTTTTCTCAATGATGTAAAGACAAAAGATCTCGCAGGTATTTTGAGTTCAGATAGTATAGTTTATAAAAAAATATGAGACCTCAAATGTTCAACAAAAGAGTATCTATTTGAATGATCGAAGAATAACAAGTTTGGTCTCTGCTGGATCATCCAATATATTTTTAGTAGAAAAACTAATAGGAAAGATCTTATGAGGTTCGCTTTAAGATTGCGCAATTTTTATGACTCAGTAGGGGCTCCTCTTAACTGATAAAACTTTGCTATTCTCCTAGGTTCGTTTGATAATCTCATTTTCAATTATTGTATTCTTGAATTAATTCCAGTTGAACTATCCCCAAGGATGTATGCTTCAGTTTTGGGACAAAACATATGAATAGAGTGAAAAAAAAAATAAAAATAAGGATAAGAGTAAGAAGGCTCATACCAAGTTGCGATGGTATGCTGTTATCCCTTGGTGGCGATATCGTTTTTTTATGGGTCTCCTTGTGTCCATGACAATGCTCACATTCGTCATCGCTATCTTCCGAGCTACTCTCTCCAAAGTCCTTCGGTTTCTCGTAAATACAGCAACCTAAATAATACAACAGAAAATATCTAAATAATTCGTTCATTAAAGTGACATTGATGAGATGAATTCTCACATTTTGATTTTTTCTTGTTCATGTTCTCATTATCAACTGTCCCTGATGTCCACTGGACTTTTTTGCTTGATCTTGGTTTTCGGAGGCATAAAGTTATTGTTGGAACTTCCTGAAAGCATGAAGAGAAAAAGTTCTTTTTTTCGTTCCAAAAGATGAAGACCTGTTAAGCGAGAAAAGACTATTGAAATCATTAAGTGGTTTATAGGATAATAAATAATTTTCTCGTTGTATGAATGTGAATTTATTGATAAAAAATATATCATTGTGCATAAAAATATTGGAATCTTTGAATAATATGTAATCGGCTCATTGTATTATTTTTTTATCAATAAGAATTCCAATCTCTTCTTTTGAATATCCCAAAACATCTCTCAAAACTTCCTCTGTATGTTCTCCTAACGCCGGTGGTGCCGATCTAACTTCATTAGTCCCATAACTGAGTTTTACAGCTGGTCCAACCATTTTGACTCTTCCCATTTTAGGATGTACCATCTCTTTGACTATCTCGATGTGCTTGACGTGAGGATCATCAAACACCTATAAATAACACCTCACTTACTGCATACTCTTTTTCCTCACATATATTGAGACAACGTCAGTAGTGAGCTGATAAAGCGAGATAACTCAATTTTCCTTCAACTTTGACAGATTTACAAAGTTCCATTTTCCGTGGTGGAACGCAAAAACAGAACAAGTTTTTGGCGAATACCTTAAAAATCGGCAGAGATAACGGAACTTCCGAACAGACCTCCTGTGTAGATTTTACTTTGCTCTACAGGAGAGATCTTTATTGAAATACGTTCATCGTCTTTGGATTCTAAGGCATTCGTCAGGAACTCACCTCTTCTGTAGGTAAATTGCTATATGTTCTTTAAGAGGGGACTACTATGAGTTTTAAAAGTCGCGGGCTATTTTAATGAGATTACTTATACATTGAAGATCGATTATCTCTCTATATTATAAAAATCTAAATCGACTTCTGGTGATGAAAATTTGGTACTCGAAATTGAGACTCCAAAAATCAAGGTCACAAGGGTCAAAATAAAGGGTCATGAGGGTCAGAATAACGGCCATGAGGGTCAAAATAAGGTCACGAGGATCATATCAAGGGTCACAAGGGTCAGAGTAAGAATCCAAATAAGGGTCATGGGGGATAAAAACCAAGGGTCAGAAACTAAGGGTTGTATTCACATAAATGGCGCAAATTTTATATCAATCAATAAGAAATAAGCTGTGTAGGAGTGGAATTTCAAAAAACTAATCCGTAACTATGATTGTACACATTTTTTAAAAAATTTTGAAGAAAAAAAAAACTCTGTAGCCCAAAAATTGGAGGCCCCGGGCTATTTTTAACATTTTAAGCATGTGCGGAGCAAACGAACAATAACAATTGATTTTTTTTGCACTAATTATTAGTTATTCGTTCGTAGATATATATAATCGATCTTCAATGCATGAGAAATCCCACTCCAATCACCCGCAACTTTTAAAACTCCTAGTAGTCTCCCCTTGATCCCTCTATTACTGATTTTACACTCATCCCGTTTTACCATTTCATCGTTGAATTTTAACTTCCGTTACCTGTCCAATGGTATTAATCGGCCCATAAGGAAAGGGTGATCCTTGGAATGCGGTCGACCACTCCTGATTAGTCTTCATCTTGAACTTATCCCTCAAAATCTTCAACATTTCCTGCCTATGTTTGACCCTGGATGTGTTATCCTTAAATCTATCATCTTCCCCCAACTCTGGTAATTTCATTCTCATTATTAATGCAAGAAACTGAGCATCGCTTCCAGTGCCAACAGTCATGTAGCCATCAGCAGTTTCAAAAGCCTCATAAGGCACAATACTCTCGTGCTCGGAGCCCCAACGTTTTGCCTCTCTCCCACCGTTTAAATAATTCGACCCTACGTTGATCAACGTTGCAAGTTGGGTGGCCAAAAGGTTACACTGGATCCACTGTCCTTCATGCGTTTCACCTCTTTGGAGGAGAGCAGCCATTATGGCTCCATGAGCATAGAGTCCTGTAGCTAAATCTGTCATTGCGACTCCAACTTTACAGGGAGCACCATCTTTAGGTCCAGTGATGTGCATCAACCCTCCCATTGATGCAGCAATTACATCGTAACCTGGGCGATCAGCGTAAGGCCCTTCGTACCCATATCCAGTTAATGAACAATAAATTATGTGGGGCGCTATTCGTTTGATGTCTCTGTACCCCAGCCCCATCTTTTCCAGCTTGCCAGGCACGTAATTTTCAATCAACACATCCGATTTTTTAGCCAGTTCATAGATTATATCTCGACCTTTCTTTATGTCAATGCAAATGCTCTTCTTGTTTCTATTCACGCTGAGAAAATAAACAGAGTCTTTGCTGTTGGGGAGGAAGGGCGGGCCCCAGTGACGACTCTCGTCTCCGGTCCCTGGTCTCTCGATCTTTAGGATTTCGGCACCATAGTCACCGAGGATCATAGTGCAGTAGGGACCCGCTACGATTCGAGTGAGGTCTAGTACTCGAATTCCAGATAGAGGGGATTTATTGTTGACGACTTTGGAAATACTGATGGGGCGACATTGGAATGAGAGGTTCGACCACCTTGAGGTCAACACTTGGAGACACTTCGTGGAGTTTATTTTCATGACGAAGATCTTCACTTATCACAATAGGCAATATGGAAAGCACGAAATGTGAAGAAAAATCCTTTATTGACCAACGAAGATATTGTGGAAGTGCTACCATAAGGGAATACGTCGGTGAAATTTAAGTCTTCACTGGGCGTTGGGATCTATTCAACAGTTTGTGATATACAATTTTGCCTACGAAAAACCATGAAAAACTTCATTTTTGTTGCTTCGGAATGGAAGCATTGTAATCGTTCAAATTTAAGTTGCGGATTTTTTGTGTTATGTCAACCCATTATGATCCAAAAAGTCCGAAAATGCATTTTTTAGACCCTGTCCGCCCGTATGTGTGTATGTATTATGTATGAGCAATAACATTTGCTCAGCAACAAACTGAGTTTTCATCGGTGGAATCGCGACAAAAGATAAGAAAACAAGGCACAATTAATGCCCATAACGTAGAAAGAGAAATGGAGAGAATGGAATGGAAAATAGTTGTTTGATGCGATAAAATACGTGTATTTTACGCATCACAAGAAGGAAATATCTCACCTGTGGACCGTCACTGACGTCTCCCTCCAAAACTGTCTCCGTTTGCGTCTGCGAACTCGACGGCCCTGCCATTCTTTCCATTCAACGCTCGTTCCTTCAACAAATAGAGTCCTTTGATTTTTAAGCTTGACGGATGTCAGTTGGAAATGATACCAATATTGAGTGACAATTACGCCGGCAGTCTAAAGTCAACACTGGGTCTCACAGTTTTCAATATAGCGGTTATGTGTCGGAATATGTGCGTTCATCAATTTTGAGGTGAGGATCTAACGATCTTTCTCCCTCTCCACCTCTCAGACCTAGCTTCACCTGTTGGCTGGAAAGTTTTGCCCTAAGGGTCCGATGTTTTTGGAGCCTCTCGGAGTATTTACCTAATAACTATTTGTGTTTCGGAGCAACACAAGTGGTTAAAAAGAATGGTGAAACTTTTGGATTATTATGTTTTGTGAGTGAAATTTATGAGTCTTCCAACCGTTGATGAACCGTTAGTGACACAATGTCGAAAGAAAATCGAAAATTAGCTTCTGGAGATTTTTGATGGTTTTCTCGAAAGCAAATCGACGGTTTTATGGATTATTGCGAACAAAAATAACGATCAACAATGGCAGTATGTACAGTTGAAAAAATTCATACGGCTACTCAGGAGTTCCCGAGATTTCCAGAATTATTTATAGATTTTCCATTTTTCTTAAATGAACAGGTCAATCCGAAAATTCCTTTGCCCTTGGAACCGATAAAATCGAGTGCTTTGGAGGACAGGAGGCTTTGGGTGGGTAACCTGGATCTGAGGATAAATGAGTGAGTACTTCGAGAGAATAATAGGATTATGTTAAGAATTGTTTTCTACACATGATTGGGCAAATATCTCGAGATGTAGGGAAGGGTGGGCAATAGGAACACTAGATTTCAATAATGAGTTGAATTGGATCAAATCTAATATTTCGACTTCGTTTAAAGGTTATAAAAACAAACACATTGTCATAAGACTGCGTCGGCGGAGTTGTAAGGTAAAGCAAAAATGGGGTAAAATGGACACTTCGATTTCTTCCTCAATTTTTTATGTTTCAACAATGTTGTTCAATTTCTGAAACACTAGTCATGACTGTGATTTAAAAAAAAAAACTCATTTTTGACTTTTGTCGTGAGGGGTGGTACACCAATTTTTTCTTTGCTCATTTATCCTCCCCTCCGCCCATTGTTTTATGGCGATTTCCTTCGTAAGTCAAAAAGTAGCCACCTTACAAATTCCGCAAATGGACAAAAGGTCACTTGTGTAGGGCGTGCAACTGTTCATTGAAAAAAAAAATAATTTCAAAGTTATTTCAATAGTAAAACAGGAAATCCAAAGCTACGCTATCTTTCAAACTTCAATGCACAATTTAATAGAGTTGAAATTTATTTGTTATTATCTCTTCCAACTCTAATTTTTATTTATAAAAAGATACTGACACGATTCTGTTGGAAAATATCTGTTGAAAATTTTCTTGATTAAATGTTGAATAGGACCAACTTTTTCGGGTGGCCATTTTACCCCACTCTTGTATAATTTTTCGGTTGTGGACTTTGTCAAGAAGCAATTTTGTAAAATTAGATTATTTAAATTTTTTTGAGCGTCCATTTTAGCCCACCCTATACGAATTTATCAGGAGTCCATATTGCCCAATGAACCAATTTTCCAAAATTTAAATTTTGAAAAAAACATTTTTTTTCGCAAATTTTTTGAGTGTCCATTTTACCACAGATGTCCATATTGCCCCGCCCTCCTCTATTGTAATTTGGTGGGAAAATGTGCCAAAGTTCAAAATGTGAAAATAACTTTTTTAGATTTGCAAATTCTCTACGAAAAAGTTCTTTGATAATTGTGCAATCTTTTTCTACAACTCCATCTAGTACCACTTATTACTGAAATTCTTTGGTCATTGATATGACGCATTCTCTAGGAAATTTATCAACTCTACAGAATGATTCTATAAATAACTGTAGATCGAATTTCCTATAGAAACATGTCATTCGATGAATCTATTGAAATTTACCATCTTTAGAGATATTTCCTGATTAATCCATGTAAAATAAATGGACAGTTTGGTCTCATAACTTTGCTGATGGATTGGTAAATAAATTATGTATTCTTCATTTTCCACTGGTTCCAACTTCTCAAAATCGTTCAAACATACGGCGAAATCGAAAAGTTTGACCTGCTGTTCCATCGGTCAGGACCTCAGGCTGGTCAGCCAAGAGGTTATGCGTTTGTTACGTATACTACGGTAGAAGCTGCCGTGAAGGCGAAAGAGGCTTTGAATAATGCTAAGCTGGGGTCAAAGAATGCTGTTGTACGGTGGGCTCATACTGTTTCAGAGGTAAATAACCCTTTGATAAATAATAAAGACCTTTCATTTTATTCTGTTCATTATTGAATAATCTAGTTAACAATGCACTTCCTCCCTTATTTGAAAAAGTATCCATATTCTAGTAAGGTTTATTTTATGTTTTTCCACAAATTGCTAATGACATAATATGTTTGTTTTGATCACAAAGAAAAAATACTTTTTATTGATCTTTAATATAATTCCTGTTCATTCAATGTTGTAACTTGTGAATTAAGGAAAAAATATATCGCGTGCTAAATGGAAAAAAGGTCGTATGCGCCAAAAAAATTGTCCTCAAAACTTGGGTCAATCAGTTTCTGTAGAGCCCAAATCGTCCAAATTTCATGTTCCCTAGATTAGGTTTACAAGACCTTCTTCCACTTCGTTGACATAACAATCGTAAAATGGTCAATACGACCTTTTTCAATTTAGCACGCGATATATGTATAATAAAAATAAGAATGCATAAAATTATATTAATCTAATTGCGAAGCGCCCGTTCGCTATTTTCGAGATGATCGCATAACTAAGAAAAATTGAATATTTCACTCGGATCATTCAACTCGTTTAGTCTTACTTTCATTATTAATTTCACTGATTGCAGAGTGAAATGGATAAGACGAAACCGAAGATCGATATCCCAGCGCTGGCGGGTGCTAAAAAAGGGGACGCAAAAATTAGGTAAATGAATTTTCGTAAAAAATGAACGAATCGCTGAGCACTTCCTAACAAAAAAAATGGTACTATGATTTTTTTCCTTCTCAGTCGGGAAACAACGATTCAAGCAATTGAAGCAAAGCTGAAATTGATGAACGAAGTTGAAGAAGAGTTTGAACTTAATAAACCCCTGGAAGGCACTCCAGTAATCCAACAATACCAGAAGCCAGAAGTTCAGAAGCCCTCGTCGTCTAGTCGTCACCATACTCATCATCATTATCATCATCGACATCATCACAGCCGTCCATACTCTCGAACACGATCGAGGAGATAATACTGATGTTCCTCATTTTTTTTGAAAATTTTTGAAGATTTTTTAAAATGAGAACGATGAGTTAACTCTAAATAAGTTCACAGTCTATGTACTTGTCTTCATGTATAGGAGTCATATTTGTTGAAGAGATCAAGACTTGATAACATACTCCACTAGGATAATTAATAATCGCCTAAAAAAACGTCGGAGAGTACTCCTTCAATGTACAATTATTTATTCAACTCAAGTGTATTTTCATAAGCTATTGAGGCGTTTACTGATGATAATAATAATTTTTGACGGATGGTAATAAAAGACCTAATTAAAGAGTGGAAACCAATCATTAATTCAATTTAAACCTAATTCAGTGGGAAAGTAATCAAATTGTGCAATGGTATAACTATCTAAGTAATGAGGAATTATAGAAAACAATTCTCACGGAACCACTTCCATAGCTGAGGAAAATTCAAGCATTTATGGTCTGTAGATGATTTCCTTCGCAACCCCCATTCTTAAAATAATTTTACAATTAACAAAATGAGTCACGTTGAACATGAAATCTCTGTCAATTGCGTGATTATCTTGGAATTAAACAACCTGTGGAGAAAATGTTAAACTTGCTTTAGTGACACATAAGTAGTTGTAAAAAGTTTCCATGTTTAACGTGAAAGCTATTCGATTAAATTATTTTTAAAATTCCGGAGGGCCATGTCTGTATTTTCCTCTCATGTGATAAGGTAATGGGACTACACTGGGACATGGCAGCTGCCCAGGGACCTCGCACATGCAGTGTTTCAAGCAGCCATTTCCAATATTCGCCGGATTTTCTTTCTTCTCCGCTGCAATGGTTTCTCTCTCCAGAACTTCTTTTGATTTACCAATTACTCTCATCAAGTGTGCATAGATCTCGTCACTAGTTCGACCATCGATATCTATTAGCATTCTTTTTCCTGTATCTAAAAATGTAAGAAGAGTTAGGATCATTAAGAGAAATATTTTTCGCGTGTAAATTCGTTTTCCGAATATCTTGAGAGTGAAGAGGTACGGTGACCAGGCCAATTGCTGGGCGGAAAAAAATTACACTTCGCTACAGATTTTATTTATGGAATGTTCAATCGATGCAAGTTGAAATCGTCCAGAGATTAACCCCCGTCCAGAAATTGACCGGTTTCCCCTGTTCTGAATTTATCGAGAGAACTTTCCTACGGAGAAAGTCTGCTGATAAATCCCCCTCAACATTCTCACTCTGAAAACATTCGTGGACTTTGGTTTCATCGTTCAATCACTGAAATTATTTATTACCGTAAAAACACCGAATGAATGGCGAGGGAGTCATGTTCTTGAATACGTTGATCTGAACCTGTGGATTTTTGTATTGAACCTGTGGCAGCCTCCAAAATACAAATTCCCTGGAATTAACGAAAAAGTTATATCACTGATGCATCTGTTGTTTCTAACGTTAATTTCTATATTCTTTTCTTCGCAATTACTTCGCTCCCTGATGATGATCCCCAAACGTATTATAATTTATCGTCATTATTTGAATATTGTCTTTTAAAACTAATTTTCCAGCTTCTAAATAAGGAAGTGTTCGCCTAATCGGCGCTCTTCCTATCATGAACGGCATTTTCTTTTTTTTTTCTTTAACTTTCTTCCTAATTTTCGTTATAACAAAAACTTCTATTTATTAGAGATCACTCGTGGATACGGCTCCGAAAAAAAACTCGCAATGGAACAATAACCTCAAAAACGTTGAACACGGGTCCATCCGAACACAAGGGAGCGTTGTTTTCAATCCAAGACAAGAATAATAATGGCTGTCACATTATTATGACACATTCACTGCGGAAATTGTCAAATCAATGTTATAAGAAGCATTTGAGCGAGTTTTTCCAGTTTTGTGGTTTGTTTTTTCAACTTATTATTGATGTACACGCAGACAATTAAGATGCCGGTGCAGAAAGACTCGAATGTCGTTAAAATTGCTGTCAAAACAGCTGGGACGGGTCTCAATCCACAGTTGATTGGGTTTAATCAGAAACAACCCTTGACCGGAATAATTCAGGTAATGCGTTTATTTCGTATTCGTTAATAATATAAAAATCAATTCCATTAGGAGTGTCCAAAAATAAAAGGAAACAAAAAACATGTAGAAATGAAGAAATCCTAAAATTGATTGTTCCTTTCCATTGTTGCTCCAATCGTCAATCAAACAAATTATAGACTAGTGGTAAAAATGGGAAAAAATGGAAGAACAAAGAATGGTTCCATTACTATCTTGAATAGGAATAATTTTTTTCAACTATTGGATTTTAATGTAAAGTGAATGTCCCAGTAGCTGAACGTACAGACAGAACATAATATCTTTTGATGGGTGAAAAAAACAGTTACTTTGAGCCTGTTAATTTGTTCTTCTGAATGGACGGACAAAATCCGCTGCGAAATAATAAATTGCACGACTTCGAAAATGTGTCGAATTCGGCTACTGGGAGAGAGTCAGGTGCTGGCACATTCACTCCAAATGATTTTCACTGAATGTTTTTCAATATTAATTGAAAAACATTCCCCTATATTAATAGGGGAGGGTGGGGTCAAGTAAGGTGGACACTTCTGACTTTTTAAAAAATGTTGATAACTTATTTCGTTGTTGATGAAATGGAATAATTTTTTTTGCAATGGAAAGTACGATTCCTCCCCTTTGTCATAAGGCAAGAATAAGATCAAGTGATAAAGCTGGTTCCGAGTTATTAGTATTTTTTTAAAGTCAAAAGAGTCCATTTCAAAATTATAATAACGCTCCCTCTCGAGAAGTTGAAAAGTCAAAGGTGTCAATTTTGCCCCATTTCCCCCTAATTATTGCCAAAGTTGAAGAAGATCAATAGACCCTTTCATTCTGCAAGCCACGAGATTCGCGGATACATTTTTCTCATTTTAATTCCACTAAGAGTTGCGGACATTTTTAAATATATATTTTCATACATTTCAATATTTATCAGAGACTTTTCGGGAATTTTTTAGTTCGCTGAACAGAATAAATATTTCCTCTAGATGAAATTCTTGGTATTGCATTTAATTAATCTTCATCCCATTTTCAAGCTTGACAGAATAACATTAGATTTATTTGCAGGAACTTTGTAATGGCTGGGGCTTGTCAGATCCAGATACCTACTCTCTCCAATTCTCCGAGAGTAATAATAAAAACTATATCACCGAAAAGAATCGAAATGAAGTTAAGAATGGCAGCATTTTAAAACTAGAACACTCGCCGTCGAAGACAGCTGGGGATATCCTTGCTAAATTGAATGACGGAACACCTGAAGAGAAGATTTCTGCACTTGAGAAATTGAGCTCTCTAGCTTTGGATATAACGTTTGCACATGAGTTTATCAACAAACAAGGCTTGGCGTTGATTATTTCTCAGGTTTGTATTCTTGGAATTACTATGAAAGTTATGGAGCACAGCTGGTCTATGAAGCTGTCATTTAATTTTGCTTTGTCTGATTGAAACATCGCTAGTTGAATTAGATGAGCGAATCTGCCAGTTCTGAATATGAAAAATGACCTCAAAATTTTAAAACTTTTTCTATTTTTTTATCGAAAAGTATAGTTTAAAAGAATAAAACTGAGGGCAATCGGAAAATTTTGTTTTCTTCTAAAAACTTTTTTTTTTCAATTCCAATTACGAACCACTAAGAACGATAAAAAAATTTGAATCCAAAAGGTTTCGTCGGAAATTTTCACAGCTTTTCGAAACAAAATATTGTTTTGTATGTATCTATGTATTTTGGCATAGAAAATTCAAAAAGAAAGTTTTAAACGGCCATTCAGGGTCGTTCCCCAACTTTTTTTTATTTTTCATTTTTTATTTTTTCATCGCAAAGTTCAGAGCATTTCCTAACAAAAACATATTTTCATTTTTGGTACTCTCACAAACTCAGAGGTCAAATGCAGAGAAAAACAAAATTTTGTCCTCCCAAAAAATGAGTCAAAAATATCTCGAAATCTAAAGGAGATCCTGAAAAAAGTTTTCCCAGAAGCTTTTTTGTAGAACTTATTCTGCTCTACAAAAAAGATCTTTTCAAAGATTTCTCTATCTCCTTTAGATTTCGAGATATTTTTGAAAAACTAATTTTTTGGGATAACAAAATTTTGTTTTTCTCTGCATTTCACCTCTGAGTTGGTAAGAGCACCAAAAATAAAAATATGTTTTTATTAGGAAATTTTCTGAACTTTACGATGCCAAAATACATAGATACATAAAAAACTATTTTTTTTTAAAAGCTGAGAAAATTTCCGACGAAATCTATGGGTTCAAATTTTTTTTTAACGTTCTTAGTGACTCGTAATTAGAACTGAAATAAAAAGTTTTTAGAAGAAAAAAAATTCAAAACTTCAATACTATCTCCGCCAATAAGTGAGTTAGAGAGCTCCGGTTGTGCTCATTTTTCGTCTTTTGGGCTATACTATTCGATAAAAAATAGAAAAAAAGTTTTACAATTTTGAGGTAATTTTTCACATTTAGAATGGGCGGATTCTCTCAGATGTTCTTACATAGTAGGTAAATAATCTTACATTTACGGAATCATTTGCAGGTAGAGTCTGGAAAATATAAAGCAACGGCTCTCGCATATTCTCTGCAGTCTTTCGTGGAGCTAATGGACCATGGAATAGTCTCTTGGGACATTCTCGAGCCTCCATTTATCAACAAAGTTGCCAGTTACGTTAATAATCAAGCAGTGACACAAGATGCAGACGTTATAGAAGCTTCTCTGAGCATACTCGAGAATATCGTGTTGAACTCATCAGGACAGTACGGATTAGTCGAGAAAGAAGTCACCTTCCCCAATCTGTCCAATCATCTCCAAAATATGAAGCCTGAGATACAACAGAATACAATTGCCTTGATTAATGCACTGTTTCTGAAAGCAGATGCACGAAAGCGAAAGCACGTGGCGGCAACTCTGCAGTCCAAACAAATCAGAAATGTTTTTCTCACCAATGTTATTCAGTCAACTGGTGAAGTAAGTCCAAAGTCAATTAATTTATTAAAATATCCCGGAATTCAATTCTAATTAACCAGTACGAGGCGATGAGAAGGAAATACCTCCTTCAAATATGTAGGCATTGAAATACTTTAGGAATTTATAAAGAGGTTTTCTAGGTACTTCTTAAAATTTTATATTAAAAATAATGTCTCGATACTCCTCAGAACCTCGTCATTCCAAACATACTATACCTTTTGCTCCGAGTAGAATGAAAGCTACGTTGACGATCTTTGTGAATTTTTTGACGTCTTGTTTAAATTTCCAAGAATTTCCATATTAGTAGTTTTTTTATATCGCGTGTAATGGAAAAACGTCGTATTGACCATTTTGAAATTTTTAGGTCAACGAAGTGGAAAAAGGTCTTATAAACCTAATCTAGGGAACATGAAATCTGCATGATTTGGGCTCTCTAGAATCATTTCAATCCAATTTTTGAGGAAAATTTTTTTTGCGCATACGACCTTTTTTCACAAATTTTTCTAGAGTAATGTTTATTGCTTTAAATGTACGACCGAACATCAGAAAAATGAAGAGAAAACAGTGAGTATTTTTTTTTCATTTTTCCACCATTGGAGAAATATGTTCCCTAGATTAGGTTTATACGAACTTTTTCCACTTAGCAGGTGATATGATTGCCGAAAAGCGATTTTTAGCTTGTGGAAGGTATTCAGCCAAAGGAAAGTATTGTCCCGCCGAGTATGACAATATTGACCATCACAAAGCTTGTCAAGTTACACCGTATGTCACTGAACACACGATGTGATTCAGATATTCTGTAACTCAGTTGAATAGCGAAGTAAGAAAAGTTTAACAGATCCTTTGAATTATTTCCATAATGAAATAATTCAAGTGATTTTAAGAGGAAACAGAAAACAAAAAATGTTTTTTGATGTTTTTTCCTAAAATAACGTGCTTCCAATATATTTACATAATTAACGAAAATGTCAGACGCGACGTATTATAGTTAAAAATTTTTATACTGGATTAATTTCCCTACCAAAAGTGTATTTACTGATTTGAAAAGTATAATTAATGTTTTTGTTGACGCAGGTCGGCACAGAAATGGCTCATCAACTTTACGTGCTACAAACTCTAATGTTGGGTCTCCTTGAACAAAGGATGATGACGAAAATGGACCCTCAGGATCAAGATGCTCATGATAAAATAAAAGAACTCCGAAGAATCGCCTTTGATACAGAGGGAAATACAACTAATGACGTCACCTCTCGAAAGCAGGGACTTCCTGCCAAAGATTACAAGAAATTGGGTTTCAAATATGATATCAATCCAGCTTTAGATTTCACTGTCACTCCTCCTGGAATGTTAGCATTGGATTGTATGGTTTATTTTGCAAGAAATCATACAGAGGCCTATACAAAGGTAGTTCTGGAACATTCCTGTCGTGCTGATGAGCATGAATGCCCTTTTGGGAGAACCAGTGTGGAACTTGTGAAATTACTTTGTGAGGTGAATAACTTTCTTTTTGCTTTTCTCCATACTAGCAAACGGGCGCTTCGCACTCTTCGCTAGATTAATTTATGCTATTTTATTTTGTTTTATTTCCTTTCCGTTTTCGTCTTCACAATTAGATTAATTTAATTTGGCTACTGTGACAAATGTCGTCCTAACGGCCATTAAATACATCACATTATTAATTTGCAATTTCCTCCATATTTTGTTTATTTCCCAATATTATTCAAAAACGCTCTTTGAAAATGTTCAACTTTTTTTCGACGTTTTTTTGATTGATAGTCATAATTTAATAATCCACTCGGGCCTTAATTCACAAGTTACAGTACTGAATGAAGAGGAATTATATTGAAGATCAATAGAAAGTGTTTTCTTTGTGATCAAAACAAACACACAAAAGAAGTCATTTGAAATCTCATTCCGGTAATAGAAAAATCTCTCCATGTATTCCTGAAAATTTCTAAAATCTATTCTTTCCTTCATATGGTAAACGGAAATCGGTACTCCTCATTCCTATGGTCGGATTCCAATTATTATCATGGAAAGGAAAGGAAAAAAGAATCAGAAAGGGATAATCGGCTAGAAAATGGTTTTTGTTCTTCTTTTATATCAGTCGGAACTTCCAATCACTTTTTTCTTCAAGTATTAGAGGAATATCAATATTTCTGCGAGAAGAAATTCAAAAAATGCGAAAAAAGACGTCTGCGTGAAGAACTAAAAAAAATAATGTTTTAGATTCTGAAAATTGGAGAAGCACCTAGTGAACAAGGTCAGTCCTACCACCCAATGTTCTTCACCCATGATCATCCCTTTGAGGAATTTTATTGTGCTTGCATCGTTCTCCTGAACAAAACTTGGAAAGAGATGCGAGCGACAACCGAGGACTTCGTGAAAGTGTTTTCAGTTGTTCGCGAGCAGATCACTCGTGCTCTTCAATCCAAGCCCACTGGTCTGGATAAATTCAAGACTAAACTCCAGAGTTTGACGTATTCCACGATCACTAGCTTGTGGCAGCAGGAAAGAACTAACAAGGAAGAGTGGGAGAGCCATGCTAAACCTATTGTTGAGTTGCGTGAGCAGATAACTCCGGAGATTTTGGATCTTATACAACAGCAGAGGCTTGGATTTTTGGTCGAGGGGACGAGGTTCACTAAGTACAGTGCACGGGGTCAGGTAAGTTCGTTGGGATAATTCAATTGTATAGAGCAGTCGTTAACAAATGATGCTGTGAAGAGCCAGATCTTCTGGAAATATCTCTGGAATTAATAAATTTAGAGAAAATGATCAGAAGGCCATTTTTTTCAGCCTGTAACTCTCTCGTATGAGATTTTTTGATGATTTCCTCTAAACTTCTCCGAAATTTAATTCAAATAACTGAACAACCGGTGAGACAATTTCGATGAAAATTCACTCAAGCTCATGCTTTATCAGAATGCATCAGCTGTAAAAAAAAGGTCAATCCCATTCTTTTTCTACAAAGAAATGTGGAAGAAATGAAAATGAAATACACACACACACACACATACGTGAACATTCTTCGAAAAATACTATAGAACGAGTCTAAGGGTCACGAAGTGTAGGGCTCACCCCGACACCCAGACGAGACTTCACTTTGAAGCAATCGTCTCGCTCTGAAAAAAATATCGAAATTTTTTGGGGCTGTCTCAGTCTCAAAAGACACAGTATCGTCTCCTCTAGTCATGACTTCGAGATAGTTTGTCTCGTCAAAGTCTCCAATTTTTCCGGTTTATTATTATAATTGTCGGTCTCGTACATGTAAAAAAATAGCAAAAAAGAGAAAACGAGACAAGATAAAGTCTCTTGAAGTCATGACCAGAGGAGACGATACTATGCCTCGATACTATTGACTAATGACTGTAACGAATCATTTTTTTTAGCGAATAAAAGACAAATTCTGGTATGTCCGCCTCTCCCCAAACCACAAGGTCTTTCACTACGGAGATTGTGATGAAAAATCAGTGCCAACAATTGACGAGCTCCCAATGAAACTTGCAGTAGTGGATATCAGAGGATTACTCATCGGCAGAGACTGTCCCCACATGAAGGATCTTCAAAGACGAAAAACAACTCATCAATTGGCTTTTTCCCTCGCCCTAGATTCCGTAGAAGTTGCCAATCTTGATTTCGTCGCTCCAGACGAACAAGTTTACGACTATTGGACTGATGGCATCAATGCACTTCTCGGGAATAAAATGACCAGTAAAGAAACTGAAAAAGATCTTGAAACTCTGCTGACAATGGACATAAAACTCAGACTTTTAGATGCTGATGGGCTGGAAATACCCCAAGACCCTCCCCCAATCCCTGAACCCCCACCAAACTATGATTTCTGCTACGAGTTGAAATAATTTAGCAGTACAATGGCGATGAGGATGAGCCAGTCTCTGTATTTGATAGCTATTTCGAAATCTCTGAGAACTATTGAAATTTTTGAAGTATTTTTTCTTATTCAACATCCTTCGATAAAAAAAAAATTCTAAAAATTTTAAAAGTTACCTCCGATTTGGAAATATTTACCAAATACAGAGGCTAAGCTTACACGTCTCATTATACCCTTTTACTACTGAATAAGTCATTACATTTACAATATAACTTCCACTGCCTAGAAGGAGGAAATTCGAATCAGGTTAAATTCATAATTAATTCCTTTATTGATATTTTTAAATATTTTAGAATGATTTTATTCCATACATTAAAGGTTTTTTTTTATCACACGAGACTTCACAAGTCCAGGTAAAGATATAATCTTAGGAATGATGTCGTATAGATTGTACCAAAGATTTTTAGCAAAGCTTATTTGATTCTCTAATATATATAATTGAATTGTGCTTTTTTTACTCAGAAGGTTTCATAATGCATAATCAATCACATTGTTAACATTGATTCTAAAAATTTCGCCTAAGTGCCAATTTTTACCGTCAAAAACTCTATATACATATTCATTTGGTGGATTTTTTAACTATAAACAATGAAACTGTATACTCAGTATTAAAAAAATTATCCAATTATACTCTCCAAATATAGTAACATAATTAATATCCATCAAGATTTGTAACACGAATTTGTCTATTCAAATTTATAAAATATACACGTGCATATTAACGCATCCGATGAGTTTTTTAATTTTTTACTATAAATAGCCGATTCCAGTAAAGATGTGAAACGTAATAAGTAACATTCAACGATTTCTATTATTTTTTACTACAAAAAAAAGAAGTGACTTTAGTGGGAAACATTCTTTTTACATTCTTTCCTAAAATGACTTATCGTTGGAGATCGAGTTGCTGAAATTTATTTCTCTGGAGATTTGCTTTATTTTTTAACAGCAAATTTGTGCGTGCGATAGAGGAAATTGCTTACGTTTCATTTTCATCAATAATAAAATTTACATAACTTCCTCGGAAAGTATATGATAATGTTGTGGATCTGTAGCATGATGATCTGGTGGATAAAGAAAAAATTCAATGAAATTGAGCACTGGTCCTCTGCTGAAAGGATTAAGGTATCTCCCTCTTTTGTCTCTCAAATATGAGTATCTTTTGTAATTGAACATCTCGTTGGTCGTTAAATTCATGCAGGCGTGTAATACCTAAAATAAGATCAATAGAAATTTAATGCAAAGGGATAAATTTGAAAACGGGTAAAAATGCAGAAAATTGAGTTTCCGTAAGTAATGTTAATTTGCCAGTTTTGCTTACTGATGTGCATGTTAGTATCCAACCGAGTCCGCAAAAAACAAGCGCCTCCATCAGACCCAACACGTACATCAACTGCAATCCCTCAATTGCGATGCAATAGCAAGCGAAGTACAGTGTGAAGGTACAATTTATTGCAATGCACATGACAAATAGAAAAAACCACATTCTGGAAGATAGAAAAAATCATTTCACAGTCAGTTGAGTTAAATTGATTGGAGAGAATAGAGTGTAAAGGGATGGAATTGTTTAAAAATACCTGTTTCGAAGACCAACGCAATTATAAATAAACGGACAGTGATGATCAAAATATGAAACACAACGATTGCAAATTCTACAGTGCTTGGCTCTCAAGGGCCTGAAGCATCTACAACTATGGCATAAACGAGATAAAATAACGTTTCTCTTTGTCCACTTGTCGAAGTAAGGAATCTGTAAAAAAAAAACGAAAAAATACATGAATAGAACTTTTTTTTTTCTTTTCAGGTTGAAGGGAATTTATAAAATTGAAAAGTCGCGGAATGAGATTTCTCATACATCGAAGATCGATTATATATGTTTAAAAACGAATAATTAATGCAAAAAAGTTTATTGGTTATTGTTCGTTTGCTTTGCCGACGTTTAAAATGTTAAAAATAGTCCAGGGCCTCTAATTTTTTAACTACAGAGGTTTTTTTACAATATTATTTGAAAAAATGTATACAATGACAATTACGAATTAGGAAATTCAAATCCTACACAGCTAATTTTATTTTTTTTGTAAAAAATTGCACCACTATTTTACATAAATGGCACAAATTTTTATATTAAACACAACAAAATTAGCTGTGTAGGAGTCGAATTTCAAAAAAATAATTCGTAATTGTTATTGTACACAGTTTTTCAAAAAGTTTGAAAAAAAACCTCTGCAGCTCAACAATTGGAGGCCCTGGACTGTTTTCAACATTTTAAGTGTCTGCGGGGCAAACGAACAATAAACAATCAATTTTATGCACTAATTTTTTGTTTTTAGACATATATAATCAATCTTCAATGCATGAGAAATACCACTCCAATAGTCCGCTACTTTTAAAACTTACAGTAGTCTCTCCTTAGGAGAACATTCTTAGAAATATTAAAAATTTTCTACCTGTTTTATAGCTCTGTAATAAGTATCAGTATTTTGAGGCACATAACCGGGATCCCGTCTGTTAGCAACAATCCACGATATCCACATAAGAAAATTCCAGTAAATAAAACAGTAATGACTTCCTCTTAACAAATTCCAAGTTATTGGAATGCATTTTAATAGATACATAGGGTAGCCCCAGAGTAGTACTGATCCCATGAAAAGCAGCAGAGGTCCTTTGCTATTTCCGGCTCCACCGAACAGCAGTGCCCTGTGACGAAATCAATCGTTTCCTAATGTAATCGTAAATCGATATCAAACGACTAGTCGTCATGATGACTTACCAAAGTTCATTAATTGGTGGTACCCATCTTGCTCGACGTTTCTGCTCGTTCTCAAGAATGGCGACGACTTCTGAATGTCGATGGCTCTTGGCCAGCTGAAGGGGAGTCTTTCCATTTTTGTCTTTTGGCCCCAATCCGATTTTACTTTTCTCACAGAGAATTTTTACGCAGCTTACATTTCCGGAGAGACAGGCAAGGTGCAGGGGGGTAGATCCAAAGTAGTCAGGCTTCTGAAGATCTACTCCACTGTATATCAGGAGTCTTATCAGCTCTGGGTGTCCTTTGTAGGCGGCCCAGTGCAGGGCTGTGTCTCCGTTGATATCGGTCAAGTGACCGTGAGCACCAGAGCCCAGGAGGAATGCGGCAGTGGCGAATTTCCCGAACATACAGGCAGTCATCAGGGGTGTTAGGCCTTTGAAGTCGGCTGCGTTGACAGCTACACCTGCCTAGAGGTTTTTAAATACTGTATAGAAAATAATTCTAGGAGCGACTTTCTTATTAATTTACAGAACAATAAGCAGAGGTTCGAGCCTATCCGGCAGAAGCCATGTGACCGTTACTTTTTGTGTCATTCGTCTCTTTCTTTTTTTTTATTTCTACCAATTCCGTGGATTTTTTTTATGAAATAGATTTATACGAAAGGTGAAATGTCTCCGAAATTGCTCGTTCTATTGCGCGTATCCAAAATGCCAACCTTCAATATTGTAAGAGCTATAATCATATCACATCTCAACTTGCTATTTTAATTTTTCCTACAATTTTGTATTAGTGGGTACAGATATTTCGAATGATCTAAATAGAAGCTGTCGAGACGAGTAAAAACTAAATTTAAACAAGTTGTTAATCTGAGGAACTACTGAACCGAAAGTTGAGCTCAATAATGGCTACACTGAGCCAAAATTTCCGATTTTTATCTACGAATTTGACCGTATTTATGTTGAATTTTCTAAAAATTAATCATTAAAAACCCATGTTGTCGGATACATACATGTAGACATGACCCTAAAAACATAATTTCTTCAGGTTTCATACCATTCTAGACCATTTGCAATCAAAATTAAAAAATCGAAAAATCGGTCAAAAAAAGGTTTCTGTTCGGAAGCAAAAACGTCGAAATGTAAGAAAAAATATTCTCTGCAATTATATTTGAAATTTATTGCTAGATAAGATTGAGTATTAATGATGTAAAATTCATTGATTTTTTGTATGTTATGTTACCTTTAACAAAATTTGGACGATTGCACTGTGACCTTTCCGACATGCCCAGTGGATTGGTTTTGGACCCTGGGTACCAAGGCAGGAAAGGTCCACTGGTCCATTGCGCTCAACAAGATAACGCATCACCTACAGTGAGTGAATTCATTAGTTTTGAATTTTTATAAAATCCGTTGCTTTTCTTCATTACTAACTTCAACATTTCCATCGAGAGCAGCCCAATGCGCTGGTGTATATCCCCATTTATCTCTAGCACTCAAAATGTTCATACCATTCTTTTCCACCATCTCCTCTACCGTTTCTGTATCTCTGGACATGTGAAAGTCGTAAAACTCAATTATTGATTGAAAATGGGTAGGGGTGGGTGGGGCAATGTGGACACCAGATCTAAATAATGAGTTGAATTGGATCAAATCTACTGTTCCGACTTCATTTGAAATTTATAAAAACGAGCACATTATCATAAGACTGCGCCGTAAGCGTTGTAAGGTAAAACAAAAACGGGGTGAAGTGGACAATTCGATTTCTTCCTCAATTTTGTATGTTTCAACAATGTTATTCAATATCTGAGAGACTAGTCATTACTGCAATTTTCAAATTGAAAAAAACTCATTTTTAACTTTTGCCGTGGGGGGTGGTAAACCAAATTTTTCTTTGCTCATTCATCCTCCCCTCCTCCCATTGTTCATGGATGAAAAAATTTAATAGAGAAACTATCGAATTCGTTAGAAAATTCTATTGAATTTCTATTGAAGTGTTCTATTAGTTTTTGGCCGATTCTATTGAAATATTCAATAGAAAATATTCAGTAGAAAAAGTCAATAGAATTCAATTTTTCTATACAACTTATTCTATTGAGATATTTTGTATAGAATTTCCGTGGCTCAAATTTTCCAAGTTTGTTCGTTTGATTTTCTTGATGAGAAGAAAAGAAAAATAGACTAAAAAAAACTTGGAAAATTTGGGTCGAGCAAATTCTATAGAAAATATATGAAAAGAATAAGTTATATAGAAAAATCGAATTCTGTTGACTTTTTCTATTGAATGTTTTCTATTGAACATGTCAATAGAATCAGCCAAAAACTAATAGAAAGTTTAACAGAAATTCAATAGAATTTTCTAACGAATTCGATAGGTTTTTCTATTAAATTTTTTCGTGCGTGTTGTATGGTGATTTCCTTTGTAAGAAGAAAAGTAGCCATCTTGCAAATTTCGCAAATGCACAAAACTTTTTCGAATATCCATTTTACCCCACTCTTGAATAATTTTTCGATTGTAAACTTTGCCAAGAAGCAATTTTTGAAAATTAGATTATTTTTTTGAGTGCTCCTCTGCCCGATGTCCGTTGCCCGTGGGGCAATATGGACATCTAAAGGGAAAAAGCTAGGAAAATGATGGTGAGTACCCTGCTCTCAGGAGTTCGAAGATTTTCTTGGTTTCAGCCGTGGGCCCCTGCCCAGGTGTCGCCTCTTCAGCATAGATATTCTCATCTGGACCATTTCTTCCTCTAGTCCCATGGCTCTTCGTTAAACTAGCGTTGTGGGCGTTGTTATGGGATATGGGATTGTTGGGTAGATGCCCGACCATGTCGGGATCTGGGCTTAGTTCCCATACGGAACGCGCTGCTCCTGGCCCTGTCAGAGGGCTCACAGGATACACCTGTCCATAAAAAAAATCAAGTATTGGAATTCAATCTGACAATGACAATGTTAAACACTGTGAAAGAAATTTCTGATTTTTACCATTGCAAATTAACCAATGTCAGAAATCGATTTTTACTTGAGCCATTCGGAATCTTGGGCAATAACGATAAATTAACGACAACATGTTAAGTATAAATTTTCACACTATCTCACAAATACCTTCTGAAAGGTGGATTTCAGGAAAGTTTATGGTGAAACCGTTAGTGTGTAAAGTTTGAAATTCTTAGCCCCATCTACTGTTTCCAGAGATGTTTGAAAAAATTTTCTCTATTGAATATTGATTTCATTAAAGTCGTTATCAACAAAATTTAGGGGAGAGTGGGGGAAAATGAAACAGTCGAAAAATGACTTTTTGAGGCAATTTAAGCAAAAAACATTTTTTTAAATATTTCTTTTATTAATTTTTGTTTATCAACTTTTCTATCCTTGCGACTACTAATGAGAATAATAATTTTCCGTTCAGTAGAATGGAAAACTATTAAGCAGTTTTGACGGGAAACGATTTTCTCAATGGATTAATTGAAAACAAAATGAAACAGCAAAATCTTAAGGCCAGAGGAAGGCCCACGGGGAGAAAAAGGAAAATGTGAAGCTGAATTTCAAACGAATGAAGAAAGAAAAGTGTAATCGGCCTAATCCCATCAATTGAATTATAAGACGAATAGAAAATTATTATTCTCATCAGTACTCTGAATAATAAAAAACGTTAATGAAAAAAAAAAATTGAACAGAAAAATTTTTTTTGTTTGAATTGCGTCAAACAGTCATTTTTCGACCGTTTCATTTGTCCCACTCTCCCCTCGTATGCATTGATTTATTCTTCAACTTAGTTCATTGGTATTTTCGAAAATACTAGTAAAGCCCGAAAGACGATTATAAAATTTCTATACAGGTTTTACGAAATGAACAAATAATTTTTGCTGCACAGACAGATCATCAATAACGAACGAACTGCAGATGTAAATTTATGAGATAAATTTTCAATACCTTACAAAGCGTTGCCAGGTCAGTATTACCCTTCTCAAATTCTTTATTTGTCCTAGAACTATTTCCAGTTCTCAAATGAACGGAATTCTTGAGCGGAGCGGCTAGTCACAAAGGCACTCCGGATCCCACCATTCTTGTATGATCGTCTTTATTTCCCTTATCCTTCGACTTGAGATTTCCCACTGTGACAGTTGTTCAATTCATGAATCTCAAGGAACTTGAAATTCCATCGAAAAACAGTAGAAATTGACGTGGAACAAGTCTAAAGAGAATGAACCCCCCGTTGGTTGCACTTGCGCATTCAAATCAATAATTTTACCACCTCTGTTATCGCGCACGCGCCGTGTGGATAACTATAATGATAATACCGCAATATTTAAGTAGAAGATTATTTTTAACAATTCAGGTCAGACGACAATGGCTAAGAGAGTAATGGCTAAGAAGGAAAATACGTAAATTATTGAATGAATTGTTCTCCGAAGCACTTTAAGGCAATTATAATTTATTCTCAAATTTTCTTTAAATATCATTACAGCTCACACAAATATATACATATATATCCTGCATTGAGTACATTTACAATGTTTCTTTTTTATTGTTATTTATGATTAATTTCCAGTTGTACATATACTGCAAACAGAGGTGGACGCTCCAAAAGCTGATATCCTTGTTTATATTCATCGCACAAGCATTCAGATGTTGTTTATTCATTTTCTTTAAAAATCCAATACAACCCTTTTGGTTTCTGATTCTGTAATCCAATTACATCACTTCAATTGAATTGTTTATCAAATTCAATAATTTACAGAAAAAATAAATCTTGTATTAAATCAACGTTTTAACTTTGGAAAACGACGACAATACCTTTTTGCGTTATAATTTGGCATTCCGGCTATATCTCCAACGTTTATTATGGTAAATGTGTTTTCAGTTCCGCAGGAATTTCAAATTTAATTATCAATAGATAGAACTAAGAATAAATATCAGATTAAATATCATTTTGAATTTATATATAAAATTATCATTACCAAGGATTTTGAAGATCTCGTGCAAATTTATGGAAACATTATTATCGTGCTCAGATAATTATGATAAAATTGTAACCAAATGACAGTCTTTCTGTCATGCAGATGATTATGTCCCAATCATAAATTCAATATCGAGGAACTTTATAAAAAATTTAATTTACAATTTAATTTATAATTTCCGCCATAAATTCGATGGAATGAATTTTAATTTTAATGGATGCAGAATACATTAGGTGGATGAGAAAGCGCAGAAACAGGCACTGAATGTATTTTTGAAAGGTTCGTTTAGGGTTAAAAAATGAGAATAAAATTAGTTTCGTTTTCGTTTGCGGGTGCTGTGAAGATTATGGTTCGTTCGGAAAAATCCAAAGTAAAAATATCTCGAGCTTTTTTATACCGGTGTTCAATCATTTTCAATCGATTGATAATAGAAATATTCAATTAAGGCCCGGCTCCATTATCTGCCGAACATTATCTAAATTAATTTTCACTCAGAGATACCCGAAAATTCTGAATTTAGATTTGAAAAAGAGTGAAGAAAATTCTGAGCGTTTTGAAAGAGCATTTTTAATCAATATTGAGGAATGAAGTCCATATCTCCTCTATGGAGGTCATTCCTCAATATTAATTAAAAACGCTTTTTCAAAATGTTCAGAATTTTTTCTACTTTTTTTTCAATGTAAATTCACAATTTCCGGGGTTGACGGCGCATCGAGTTGAAATTTAGAGATAAAAATTGAACAAAAAAAGTACTCTAGATAAAGTTCGGCAGACAATGCAACCGGGCCTTAAATACTTCTTGCTATTTTATACTGTGATTTTTCGTAAAAGTCGATACTTGAAAATAGCTCGTAGAAATAAAATCCTTAATTTTTTGTCTCTTTGGAAAATTGATTTGTGAAAACGGCCAATTAAAGATATTCATTAGCAAAAGAATGGAATGCTTTGAATGCACATCACGATCACGGTAACAAAATTTAAATTTTGTAACTTAAGTAAAATTTCCAGCATATTTCTGATATTTAGGAATTCTCCGTTAAAGCCACGAAGACGTCTAGATTGTTGGTAAGTTGGGAAGACTCCATTTGGGTGAGATGAAATTCAAGTCAAATATGTTCTTGAGGAGTTACTGACTGTTTCATCTTTAGCTGAAGACGTCCAAGATTCTTCAGCCAAGCTCCCGTATCTCTGCACCCCGGGAAATCGTGGTCCCGAGCTCTGTGGTGAATAGTAACCACCTTGTAATTGATAATAATTGTTCCCTGGTGACTGGTAGTAGTAATCCGACGAAAGTACATTGCTATATCCAGAGTACGATCCATACTGTGAAGAATATGACGAGTATCCTCGCTCACTCAAGCTCCGATACGGCCCCGAACGCTGGGGCCGATCCTCTTGTCAGACTGGTGTACTTACTGGTGCATTCGTTATGTACTCAATGTCACCAATGCTTTTCACCCGACGGTGACGTTTTCCTGTTCCATTTGCTGAAGGACGTGGCGGCAATTGCGGAGGTGGGGGTGAGTTACTGCGAATACTGCTCATGTATTGACATTGACTGACGAGAGATCCTGTGTCTGATGATGATGAGGGTGAAGCTTTTTCGCTGCGGGGACGAAGACCCAAGGCTCGACTCAGTGAACCCTAGAATTCATGACAATTACTTCATTAGAATACAAAGGGGATAAGATATACTTGGGGATTACCGTATAAAGAGAGGAAAAATTATTGGATTGATAATTTGCAGATAGCTTCGAAAAAAAAAACATTCGGAGAAAATTATTCGATCTCTTTTATAAAGAATTTGAGAGATTGTAATTTGAAAACAATCTTCCGATATTTTCATTCATATAGCCACGATTAGGGTTTTTGTGGTCCCATCCCAGAGCCAACTTTTCCACATGGCATTCACCCCAGAAGCTGCACTCCGCAGGCTCTCCTGGTGATCAAGGGAAACCATGGAAAACCCTGACCCAGATGGACGTCCGGCGACCGGATACCATTGGAGAATTTTTTCCAAACATTTAATCTCGATGATTGCCGGTGTCTAGACTCCTATCCAACGGTTTTTGAGTTGTTAACACTCCATTGATCGCGCTATGAGCGCCGCGCCGCACGTTTTTCGATTTTTTGAATTACACTGCAGTAAAGCCTCAGAAAAATTTGAAAAAATTTGACATCTTATTTTGAAGTGTCTAAAAGCCCTGTCAATGAAAATATCCCTAACGTGCATGTTAACACTTTGTGATTGTCGATCGATGAGACTTGTCATGTCATTCTTTCGCATCCCTAATATATCCGACTCGTTAGATTGGAAATTGAGCTCAGTTTGATACTGACCCGACCGGATCAGGATTTCTTAATTAGTCTTTTGGATTAAGGATAAACTGGCGAGGATAGGGTATGCAAAAAGTGCAGCCAATTTTATGAAGATTTTTGCACACATTATTGAATCTATTTAGACACTGTTTGCAAAATTTGAACCCCAAAACGCAGGGCAACAACAAAAATAGTATATTTTGTCATTAGGCCGAAAAAAACTTTTCTGGCGAATATGAGGTTTTACGGCCGAACTAACGAAATAGAATATTTCAATACGAGTGAGACGGAACTTTCACGAGTGTGAAAGAGTGGCCCGAAGCGACGCCGAGGGCTGCCATTCTCAAGAGCTGAAAATTCCCGTCTCAAATGTGTCGAACAATATATTTTAACAGTGATGTTACGTGCAACGAGTGGCCGAACTGTGCCCTTTTCGTTTACAAGTAAACGGAATAGTACATTTCGATACTAGGGCGCATGAAAAATTTTCTGGCGAATATGAGTTTGCAGCACGAGCCGAAGGCGAGTGGGAAATCATTTGAGTCAGAAAATTTTTCTGCGCCCGTGTGTCGAACAATATTTTTTGTCGCACTGCCTACGACCGGAGTGACAAAAATCACATTTTAGCCTGATTTCTGTTCTCACACGGGGGTTTTGCAATTGAAGGTGTTTGCGGGATTATTTTTTCCCTCAGAATTTTCGCCACAAGAATTCCTTTCGAATATTTTATCCAAAATAAAACTCAGTTGGCTCCTCGACCCGAGCCTCGACCGCAACCATTTCTTTGATCGAAATTCTGGGTGAAAAAATAATCAGCTTCAAAATCGTCTTTTGTCTATTCTTAGAAATATTCGTTTACCAGATGAATGGATGATCCAGAAAAATATTACATTATTTATTTCAATGAATTCTACAATTTAAAATGAGCTAATATTTCTTACGAACTATTGGATACGCCATTCCTTTCTACTTTCTACAATAATGTTTTCCTCTCTTTATAAAATCAAAAAAAGAATGAAAATAAAAACGATGAAACAGTTTTCGAGATTTTTTTTGTGTATCAGGCAACTACTATTGTGAAGTTGATCTCTAATAAGTGCAATTGGTTAATTCTACATGATTGAAGGGGATTTAAGATCAATGTTGATCTCGTAAGGTGACATGGAATTGTGATTCTTCCTAATTAAAAAAGTATCGTCCATCAACGATTAACATGAAAGAAAATTGAAGATAATGGTTCTCATACCTGAGAGCTTCTCCACGACAACTATGAAGGGATGAGACAGGTCAGTTAAGAACCCAAAAGCGTAACCCACATTGAAATCACAGTTTATATATACAACATTCGTTGATTATCATGCTAAATCTCTTAATTACGAATTACTAAATAAATGCAATAATGTTTTTTTTCTTTTCATGAATAACTTTTTTCTTTTCCGTAATTTTTGATACATATGCATATACTGTACATATACGTTTGCGCATCTCTAGGACACAGCGTGGGTTGAAATTGAGATTAACTTTGTTATCTATGTTACATACATGTAGCAGAACCAATGGGTTTGAATTTATATACAGTATGAATTTTTCGGCCCTGTTAATTTTTCATCGTGTAATATAGTTGCGCACTAATGAGACACAATTTTTCGAGTTTTCAACCGTTTTTTCTTTTATTAGTAAAGAAACTACGAATAAGTTTTACAGTGAATTGTTGGCAAATTACGGGATTTTCATGAGGGATAAGGGCGGGGGCGAGGGCTGTCGAGACACAAAATTTCATAACACACCTCAATTCGTAATCGACCAGTCTTTCATTGCACAAATCCATCATAATTGTTCATCCAATTTAAGTACATTATTGAGACTTGAACGACGATTTTTTTATCGTATAAATGATTTTCTTTTAATTCTCAAGATTATTCGATCAAAATACTCAATTGAGCGATATTCAACAGCAAAGAACTCATTGTGAATTGCTCGAGATTTCCATATTAATTGAATTAATATTAACTGAATCGATTATTATGAATGTTCAAATCGGTCCTTCTTCTCACTATTACCCACTCATTATTCCATTAGTAGAAAAGAAGACATATTTTATTAGTTAAATTAATTGACACGATATCGAGTGGATTGGAATAAAAGACCGACCTGATTTAGTAAAATAATGGTAATTAAGTGATGCATGAATATACCAAACCTTTTTCAAATAAAGAAGACTGCAGGTCTGCGATGATCCACAGGAGTGCAGGGGGAATGATTAAATGTTATGTTTTAAACGAAGAGAACTCGTTCAGAGGCCATAGCTCACAGTGAGGGATATTGTCGCTTGCAGATTGGGAAGATTCAAGTGAGAAAAACAATATATTTTGGAATCTTCATATTGAGATAAAAAATTGGTCCAAAAAACTGAGTTCAGCTGGATATGATGGTATGGAAGATATGTCGTCGCTGTATAGCCAAAACGGTGTAAGTTCCATACTTTTGATTTTTTTTTTGAAAGCCAAAGGGGCATTTTTTTCTCGTGAGATGGAATTTATCAACTTTTTTAAACGTTTTTCGCCAATGAATTTTGATAACGACAAATGGGAGTGTTTCTATTACATATCACGTTTGAAAACATTCTATAGGATTGTCTATAGCATATCCTACAGGATGCCCTATAGGATACCCTATACGAAATCCTATGGAGAATTCGAATATTTCCTATAGGATTTTCCAGATAGGATTTCATATGAGGTTTTTTCTATTGTATTTCTTATAGGATGTCCTGTAGGATTTCCTATAGGATTGCATATGAAATTTTTAACAGGATTTCCTATAAAATTTAGGGGCGTAAGGGTCATAATAAGGGTTAAAAGTGTCATATGGGGATCATGTGGGGTCATAAAAAGGGTAGTCGGACAGTTTTTCCCCGGACAAAATCTTCCTGAAAAAAATTTCCCTGAGCAAAATCTCCCCGGATAATTGCTTTTTGCGAAATTTCCTCGAACAAATTCCTTTCAACGAGTCTTCTGAGGGGTAAATTTTCCGCAAATAACAATCCGTATGAATTGAATTCCTTTGTAATTTCATTGAGGCTACAGACTCGATAACTTCATGTGTTGTATTGTGCGATTCAGTAATAAAAACCCCTTTAATTGAGCATTATCGTTATATTTATTTTGGCCGGATCCGGTTTCCTAATCGCAAATTCCTTTTTCAGGGAAATTTTGTCCGGGGAAATTCTTTTTCGGGGAGATTTTGTCCGGGTAGATTTTGTCCGGGAGATTTTGTCCGGGGAAAAACTGTCCTAGAATCCATAAAAAGTCATTAATAAATTAGAATTGCAAAAGTAAAGATGAATCTGTACTAAATGATCCATTTTCCGTAGAATCGAATCTAGCTGGACTCAATAAATTTTTCGAACGATACTCTTATTTGTTTCCCACACTATGATGAAGATTCCAAGATGTACTCCAGGAGTAAGTGCTCAAGCGAGGAAAGTAAATTCCAACTTCACAGCCAGTTTTTTCCAAATATTTTCAAATTCTAGTGAATTAGCGAAATTTCCACCGAAACTGTTTCAATGATTCAGATTGTGGCACCATACGAATTACATGAAAATTTCGCTATTTCCTTAAGATCCAAAGATATTCATCAATAACTGATTCAAAGTGAAATAAACGGCTTGAGCACTTAGCACTTGAATATTGATTTTCCCTTCATTGAGTTCCGCAAATCGGTAATTAAATCCTTGGGCCAAAGAAGCAGTGACGCCATGCAGAAAATCATGCAATAATTAACTCGAATGAATGATCAGGAATAATTCACGATGAAAACATTTATGGAAGATTCAACATCAATGGAAGAAATTATGACAGTCGCACCTGAATGCTGATGACAATTCATCAATGAATGGCAATTGAATAATCGTGCATAAAAGCCAATAAATCTGTTCAGACATTTCCCAGCAATTAGTTTGTGTTTTTACATTACCCTGAGGCTCGAGCGCCGTCTGTCAATGGTACTGGCGCTGTTGGTTGCCATGTGAAGGGCCGAGAGTGAACTCTGGTGGTGCTGAAGGTGCAGAGCGCGACTGCCTCGTCCTAGACTCCCACCGGCGCTCACTGTACTCATCGGTCTACCAACATGATTCCTCGGGATGACTTCCAGCTGGCTTCTACACACATCCACACATCCATGCTCACTTTGCGTATGCCCATTGCTACACCATATGCCTCTGACAATACACCGCAACACACACACGTCGTTTTCCATATCATCATCATATATATATAATATATAATAAAAGAATAAAAGTTCAATTTGTATCAATCATCTCCTGAATTATCTGATTAGTCTAGCTGTAAATCAAAATTTGTGACTGTTTGCAGCTCATCTTCATCCTGACGAAATAAATCAATATCTATCACAACATAAATATACATACACAAGCATTTTTCTGTGCTCCAAAGATGGAAAAAATAGTTTATTGGGCTCCAATGCTTATCGATGTAATTAAGGACGTTGCACTCATTATTTTGAGTGATTAAAGTAGTATGGCCATGACTCTAGTAATTAAGGGGAGATTACTGTGAGTTTTAAAACTCACGCATTGAAGATCGATTATATGTCTAAAAACGAATAATTAGTGCAAAAAAATTGATTGTTTATTGTTCGTTTGCGCGCAGACGCTTAAAATGTTCAAAGTAGTCCAGAGCCTCCAGTTTTTGACCTATAAAGGTTTTTCTTTAAATTTTTGAAAAAATCTATACAATAACAATTACGAATTATTTTTTTGAAATTTGACTCCTACGCAGCTAATTTCGGTTTTTTTTTAAATAAAAATTTGCGCCATTGATGTAAAATAGGCAGAAAAATTATCTTTAGAATATTGAAAATATATTCTCGATTCTGTCAGGAAGATTTTTCGGGCTATTTTACATGAATAGCGCAATTTTTTATTTAAAAAAAACGAAATTAGTTGTGTAGGTGGTAAATTTAAAAAAACTAATTCGTAATTGTTATTGCACATATTTTTTCAAAAATATTGAAAAAAAAACCTCTGTAGCTCAAAAACTGGAGGGCCTGGACTATTTTTAACATTTTAAACGTCTGCGGGGCAAATAAACAATAAAGAGTTAATTTTTTTGCGCTAATTATCAGTTTTTCAACATATATAATCGATCTTGAATGTATGAGAAATCTCACTCAAATAGCCTGCGACTTTCAAAACTCATAGTAGTCTCCCCTTAAGTTTATAAAAAAGGGAATATTATTTCAAGAAGATGTGATTTTCTACTTTTTTTCCATATTTTGAAATGGGTGAATAATAATTTAGCAATCTACATTGTTGATTAGATTTTTCCTTCTGTTCTACAATTAAGGCCCGGGTGGATTATCTTTCGAACGTTATCTCGATTGTTTTTCCATCTTCATAATGTACAATATATCACAATTTCCATTGGATTTTACATCACGTAGAAGTCCCTAAAAATTATGATTGTACAATAAAAAAAGTAGTAAAAAACTGAACATTTTCAAAGAGCGTTTTTAATAAAGATTAAGAAATAAGGCCGACAGAGAGGAAATAGTGAATGGATAATTTATCATGGTAACTAACAATCTGACAGCCATTGGCTACTAATGACAAATGACGCCCTAACAGCCATTAGATACATCAAATTATTAATTTGCAATTTCCTCCCTTTATTTCCCAATATTATTTAAAGACGCTCTTTGAAAATGCTCTGATTTTTTTCAGGGTTTTTTGTATTGTACAATCATAATTTTTGGAGACGCCAGAGCTATGTAAAAGTGAATAGCAATTGGAGATCATTTCAGATTATCAAAATAAAAAAAACAAACTAGATCACGTGCGGAAGATAATCCACCTGGGTTTCAACATAATTTACAGCAAATCAGTCGTTTTCGGAACACCCGTCAGACAATGCGATTATGATTATTCATTGATGGAAAGTTAATAAACAAAGTGCATTTTCTAGAACGGATAAAGACCATATTACCTTGAATGATTAGTTCATTAGAGCCGAATAATTTTTAATTTGTGGTAGAGAAACATCAAACAATCGTATATATATGTATTATATTATATGAAAAATATTGAACTGGCAAATAATAAATGATAACTATTGAATGCAAAGTGTTGTTATCCGTAGTCAGACATCTGAGGGATACCCAGGTCTGACGGTGGATTACATCACTAGACTAATAAACAATGGGTGCTGTACATAGCGTTTTAGTGCAGTGCAGGCAGCGGCTGTGGGCTACGGCTCAACTATTTATTTTATTTTATGGATAATAAATGATTCACCAAAAGGGTTCTGTTGATTTTTGGAATCTCAGACTGGTTTTAAAAAAATAAAAATAAAAATGCAGCGAGTGGACCCGAGCAGACCCGGCTCAGTCCTCTGATAAATTCGAGATGAGTTCTTTCTTTTCCTCTATCAAAAATGTTTGTATATGTACATTAATGTCAGCTGTATCGTTTTTATTCGTTTATAACTACGTGTGTGTATTACTTGGTAATGACGGGCTATATAGTGTATTATTATTATTCTTAATATGTAAATTAGTATTAGCGTAACGAGGATGATCGTTCGGCTTTAATTTAACAAATAACATCAAATTTCACACTCAATTGTCCTTGGCGAGTTTTGGTATTAAGCCCGTGGTTTTAAGGAGCTCAGGAGAATGTATTTGCCTGACAATTGGCCGCAATTGATTTTTGTAGTGAAGTGGTCAAGATTGAGAGATAAGACTAAGATTTTCATGCAAATTATTACAATAAGAGAGATAATGTCTTGGAAACCAGTCGGTTCAGAAGAAAACATCGAGAGATCTTTTTTGTCAAGTGGTTCTACAACTTCTAATTGCTGAGTTAGGTATTTACAAAATTGTTTGGGAAGTTTTGTGAACTTATCTCGCGTTCTGTACTACTTCACTACTTTTTTATCAGGAAGATCTCGGTTCTATTCTTCGCTTTATAACATTTACCTATCTAGGATTCGGAGTTGTTTCATTTAAGGCAGGGGAATACGTAGAGCTACCCTTAAAGTAATTTCTGCTGTAGTGATTAACGATCGGAGCGAATTGAAAAAAGAAACTTTGAGGATAAAATGTTAGAAATCAAATTTTCCCCTTTTTCTCAAGCGAGCCCGTTGACAAAGTTTATGCCTTTTGAAGTGGAAGTAAAGAGAGTTGAAAGGATATCTAATCCCAATTTTAAAAGACCCGTAAGTGTGAGTTGAGCAATCAAAGCACAACTACAAATACGTTATTCCTTATAGCGAAAACGAAAGAACACGTAAGATGAGTGAAAAAATCATAGGGTGGTAAGGAGTGGAGGAAAAGGAAACGGGAGAAGTTAAATGTTAAAGGTTCAAATGTACAGAGCGTTGCACTTGAAAGAAGAAAAAATTCTAAACGGAATCCCGGTTGCGAAGGGACACATACAAATCGATACGAAGCCGTACGTAGAGAGGCGAGAAGGAGGTGCTCCTTTTCATTGTTTTTTTTTATTCTCCGCCACCCTACCCTATAGATCGCAGACTTTACTTTGATTACGAGTGCCCAGTTACAGAAAAACCCCAAGTAAACCCTCACCTTTTCCCATTCCTCTCAACACTTGGAATTCTTTTGATCGTACACACGACTCGACAAACAGAATTTCGTTGAATAGTAAAAGAGATATTCCCCCTCCATAACAGTCGTTTTTTGTACGATATGGGAAGTGAGCAAGAGAGAAAAAGGAGAGTACCGTCAAGTGTTCCACTGCAAAAACTGTTTTCAATGATGAGTTGAGGGAAATAGAATTTATCAAGGGAGAACGCGAGAGGAATTAGAGGGTCGGGATAAAATTCTGGGGACAAGTTTGCTAGGAATTGATAAATCATTTGGGGGAATCGGACAATGTCGTAATGTGTAGTTTTAGTGAGCGGTGTCCATTGTTCCCTCTGGATGACAGTAGATTGAGTACCTGGCTGGTAATACAAGGGCCTCCAGTTCGGCAGTTAAATGTCGACGTATCATGTGTTTAGCGGGAGGTATTCCTAGTGCTGTTGCCATAGTATCGCCGGTGAATGAAGGTTCTAGGACTACTAGGGCACCGTGAACACCAGAATCTAGAAAAGAAAGATCATTTTTTTCGTTTTGCTTCCGAATGGAAGCATTGTCATCCTTCGATTTTCACATTCTCTAATTTTGATTGGAAATTATGTAGAATGGTCTGAAACGTAAAAATACGAAGTTTGACGACCGTGTCTGTACGTGACCATGTTCATCGCCACCTTCCCGGTGGTCAATTTTTAGAAATAGTACATTAGAGTACAAGGGCACAAATTTCGTTTTCGACGAATGTGAAATTTACAGGCTGAGCCGAAGGCGAGGTCTGTATTCACATTCGTTGAAAACGAAGTTTATGCCCGAGTGGTCTATACTATTTTATGCCGCATCGTGCAGAAGTCGAGTTTGAAGCACGCTGCGCGAAGCGCAACGTATTGTGGAATAATTAATTAATTATTAGAGGAATTATTTTTCCTTCATTCCCACTGAGATTTACCTTTGAGATTGTCAGCATATTCTCCTAGGTCAATATTCCTCGCCCACCTAATGAACCGATGATTCGTCCAAACCAAAGGATCTTCATCCACCTGTTCACTCTGATGGCGCCTAACAGCCAACGCTTGCCTGTCATACTTGAGCATCCTCAATAAATTAATGCCATGCATAATACTGGCTTGATGAAACTTTCTCGTAACGCCCAAAAGTTTCTCCAACTCTTTTTTAACGATATGGTCGAGCATTCTGGCGTCAACCAGATTGGTAGCGAAGCTTTCTGAGTACTGGGCAAGGCCGAGATCAGGTAACCACTCAGAGCTGACCCAGGTATGACCTAGTTGAGCGATACAGGGATAACGGACCAGGCTCGGATGTCGATGCTCCTCAATTGCGAGGCGAAGCTTTTTGCGATGGAGGGGATGAGTTATTCCCAAACCCGCCTCAAGTTCAGCGTCATTCAATTCTAACAGAACCTGAAGGAAAATAAAAATATTAAATTGGAAAGGAAAACTGTGAAATTTTGCTTTCAAACGTGTTTTCATTCGGTTTCATCCAACTTTTCTCCGATAAAAAAGAAATAACGGGGAGGAAATTGAAACTCTTTCTCTGTTTGCTTTCAATATGGGCACAGATCCAATTAGCGGGATGTAATAATCACGTCCGTCTCGTGTTATTTTCATGAACAATTTTTGTGTTTTAAGTAATCTTCATTGGATGAGATTAAGAGCTTTTCTTCAGTGACAGTATTTAATTCATGTGATTTTCTTTCATGTTTTAACCCTGAAAGATCTTTGTTTATTCCACCGATAGTCTGCAAAAGAGTGGTAAAATGTGAGATATTAGTCTGCGACATCCCATTAATGGTTATGTTTATATCTTTATAACTGCCGGTGCGTTACATTGAGGTCTGCCGAAGGACTCCCAACGATTTCCATCGCAGAGTCAAATATAACGTTTTTCATATTCCTATATAGGATTTGCCGATATATACAAAACGGCCAAACATTGGTCCAACATCGGGTCGCCGAACATCGGGGCTCTAATTAAAGACTAAACATCGGCCCAATATCCGCTCGCCGAACATCGGGGCTCCGATTAAAGGCCAAACATTGGTGCAATATCCGCGCACCAAACATCGGGGCCCCGATAAAAGGCCGCTCCACGACCGATGATCGGATCCGACTTGATATTTGTAGGCTATTTTTTGAATAAATGGATGGATAGCAGCCATTCGTCCTCTATCCTAACATACAGAATATAGATATCGATATCCCGAATGAAAGCCTAAATATTTTAAGAATACTAAATTAATTAATTAACTCTTCTCTTCGGAGTTACCTATTAATTAATTAATTGTTGATAATCGCATTCGGGGATTCAAACAAAAACACCATATGGTATTTGTATACCCGAAAAAAATCCATCTTCATAAGAAATTTCACACGGAGAGAAATGTTCAGTAAAAATTATGGAACTCACAATTCACTCACCGATTACGGAATCGACTCAGAAAATTTTAGTGACGGAACCGTAATTTATCAGTCGAGATTGAGATAAAAATTACACAACCACAAGATACGTAATTTTTATTGAATATTTCTCTCCGTGTAGATGGCCCAGTGGACAGCGCGCTTGACTACAGATCAGAAGGACTCGCAATCGAATCCCACCGGCGGCAATTTTTTTTTAATTCAATTTTTTTCTTTTTTGGCTCACTGGAATGGATAAGAAAGGTTATAAAACGATTATAAACTATTGGAACTAATATGTATGAGCGATTTTAAAATTTGGTTTCACCGATGGTTGGCTGATAATCGACGCCAATTTTGGGGGCACATCGGTATCTATGATGACCCGAAGTAACGTCCCAACATTCGGCGGAACATCGGCCGAAGATCGCAGCCGATTATCGTGGAACTCGGCACCGAGTTTGGCCCGATGTTCAGCCACTTTGTACTATCCTACATAGGTTGTGTGATTTTTGGGGGAAAAAATCGAAAGTAGTACATTAATGTCCTAGTTAGAAGATTACATTTTTTATGAATGTGAAGTTTAGAAGTGAATAATCAAGTTTCATCACTTCACTACAGAGTTTTTCATCCAAATATTTGTTAGTCATGCAAATATCTGAAAAATTATTGAAGCTAAAGAAAAAGGAAGAAAAAGGGCCAATTAATCATTTCATTTTTTAATCATTAATTATTGAAGAAAGTTCAAAATTGATGAGCGGTTGAAAGTATGTATCGGCCTCTTCAATGCAGCATTCTTGCATTGAAATGGATGAGAGCTCTCCCGCGATTTCCATCATAAAAAGCACTTCTCACCTTTCCTGATTTGATATTCTCTGCACACCTGGGCCCATACTGTGGCATCCCCAGGGCAACCTCGAGCCAAGCAAGAACAGTAGGAGCTCGCCATCTTTCCATGGGTATCGTCACTGCCTCCCGCAATAATCTTAATTTCTCAGCGTAACCCTCCTCAGTAAGTGGTGACCACGATCGATACGGATCGAATGCATCTGATGCCTCAGTCCCTGTGCTCCCACTTATAGAGCTGTTGAGTGCTTTTCGATGGCGGGAGCGAGCAAAAACCCTTTATGAATCAAAAGGAAAATTTTCCACCGTGTACAAGTCTATTTGAAAAAAATTCAATTGATTTCCATTTTTATGAGAGGTCGTATGGAAAATGAGCTGAATCGCATTGTTAGTTTAGGGGATCCTCAACTGTGCATGTAAATCTATTTCAGAGACATTCGCACCAAAATCATTTATGGTCTTAAATTTTTTCACTGTCTCGACAATTTTTATTCCGAAATATTTTGCTCATTATTTGGGGATAATTGACAGAATCTGTTGACGTTACCTTGAAATCGATCCCCACGGACCACCCCTCGTTGCCGAAGACCGTGCGTGGGCGACAGGCGCTGGGACAGGTGGTGCTTTATTTCTCCTCGGCTCCGAGTCCATTGGACTTGATAGTTGCTCCACTGAGCGCGACATCGATGACGTATCCATCGATCTCGAAAATGCGTTCAAAGGTGAGAGCGTCGGGCTGCAGTCCTTAGGTGTCGTTGCTGCTGTCGAGGATATTTTTTATCATTAATTCGTCTTCCTCGCAGACCATAATGGAAAACTTCATAAAAGTAAATTATCTTCAGAATGAAAGAAGAAATAACTTTTTCCTATTTTTTAAAATTAATATAGCAATTTCATTTCCTCAAAGACTCGCAAGAGAGCTGATAAGGATATTGAAATATTGATGCAACATAAAGAACGTAGAGGATATTCGAATTTCCTGTATCCCCAAACAATTCGTGGATGGTTTACTCCTGGTATACATGCTTCATGCATCATAAACATCGTTTTCCATCCTGCATTGCTTCGAGGGGATCTAAGTGAAATAGTTCCTGGAATTGAATGGATTTGACACAAAATATACATTTTGGGATCTTTATAGCGTGAAAGAATTGGGAAATAACTTCACGTATGAAAAAATTCAACAGAAAACCTAGCGAATTCGCTAGAAAATATTATTGGAATTCTATAGGAATTCTATGGGGTTTCTATAGGACTTCTATTGGAATTCTATTGAAAAATTCTTGTGGTTTTTTGCGCTCATTCTATTCGATATTCGATAAGCAAAAGTCAATAGATTTCGAACTTCTGTTCGAATTATTCTGTTGAGATTTTTTCTATTAGAATTATTGGGCACAAAGACCGACCGTAATGGTTGGGTGAGTTAGTTCATCGCGGCGTTAGCGTTTAGCGCGGTTAATAATTGGATGGGTGACCGCTTAGGAACACCCTCGCCCAAAAATTTCGGAAGGTAGGAACGGTGCAGTGGCCTAATGTGCCCTTCTGTCACACTGACTAGAGCCCTCCCCTGTATAAATTCGGTATTCATTCAATATGAAAGTCTCTGATCCATGATTCACTGAATCGAACCTTGTCGTAGTTTTAGTAATTTTCTCGTCTTTTGACACGAAATGAACGATTTCTTAAGGCAAGAAATTGTCACTTTATCGCCAAGTGTTCGTCTTCAACTCATGAACATTTCACGGGATTCTTATCCTTAAGAGATGAGATATTTGATGCAAGAAATTAATTTTGTGATATTATGTCGATATTTCTCTCAGGGTACGTTTCAAAATCACCAGCAACTTAAATATGTATCTACCCCGGAGTGGGTACTTAATTTATTAGGAACCATGTGCAATTAATAACAACCTAGATTGATGTTCAGCAGTTATCCGTTCGTTTACAATGCAAACTTTACATCATAAGGATCCCTGAATGTATATTTTTTATTCGGTTGATTCAATGATAGGGACTGTTGCACTTGGATCTTGGTAAAAGAAATTAGTAAACACCCAGTGGAACAGACTGACATGAAAATTTGGTATCACGTTGACGAAGACGATTCGATTGAAGCAAAACTTACATTGATACATGTGTGATGGAGCTACGGAGGATACCACTGAGATGCTGTCCATGTCGAGGCCACTTCCCTCGACAGTAATTGTTGGTGTCCCTGCGTGTAAATATAGGGATTATGAATTACAAGGAGGTGCACACGATGGTGATCCACTTTCGTGAAAGAGAATGACGGAAAAGTGAGAATAATTTGCTGGCGAGTGATGATTGTTATGCACAGATCTGTAGATAAATAGACATTTTCAGTAAGATTTATCATCTTCGTGTTCTTTATGTTGCACCCTGTTCTCTTGTTGATGATATAATGACTGATTTTCATAAACCCAATGGTGTTCTCATGAGCCAATTAATTTACACCGACGAAGGGAAGGAAAAGTAGACGAAGGGAAGTACCAACCATCAGTTGTTGAGTCTGACAAATTTCCTCCCACACTGGTTGCTCCACCGCTCTCCCTGTCACTTGAGCCCCGTACACCGGAATCAGCACTACAGCTACCACGATCACCGGCTTGACCAGTTCCACTCGCTCCACTTCCGCCGACACCAACGCAAAGATCAGTGACACCCAGAGGGGGTTGTGCACCCAAGTGTGGTAACAGCATTGGTCCACATCCTCCGATGCCACTGGTACTACATGCCCCGGGTGTTGCTGTACCATTTACACTGCCGCGTGGAAATGATATGAGGGACTCTTGATCACTGAGACATACACCACTGGTTCCACCCCGGTCGCCTAATTGTCGTTGGAGCTGAAATTTCATCAATAGTCGTAAAAAAAATTCTCTTTATCCGGGTGTTTTCAACGTCGCCCGAACGGCTGTTTAAGGGGCAACAGAATACTGCTAATTTTCTGCTGAAAGTTATCGATACTTTTACAAATCAAAGCACATTAATCTCCAGGAGGCGATGATAAAGATCAATGCGCTTTTTTGCATAGATGCATATATTTCCAGCAATTCCTGCAATATCTGAACTCTATTCCCACTCAATTGTAGCCCCTTTGCCGAGTATCTGGTACGGAGAATGCGAAACGAAAAACATTCAAGCTGGAAAGGGGGAGTATCACTCGGCACGGATTCAGGCCTAGTATCTTGTACGAAGACTGAACTGTAAAGTTATCTCGAGGATGAAAAATACAAAAAAAACATGTCAACAGAAGTTTCGATAACCACGAAAATTGGTGCAATTTCCTCCTTCCCTCCCTGAGTTCAATAGATATATATTTCAAATCAACTGTAGCATTCCTATATTCATGAATCCGTCCTTATCGTGAGTGAGAATCTTCGAAGTACAATTTCGTTGGCAGAGATTGACATGGAATTTGGGGTGAACGTAGTACCTCTTTTATAGTAGCATGTGCATGAGATAAAGCAGCCTCCTTATCCGCCAAACTTGCTGCTAAGCTGAGGCTCCTGTCAGCTTCATCCCGGGCAGCTCTCAGCAAACTCCAGCGTTCCCTCTCGCGCTCCCTCTCTCTCTCCTCCGTGGGCAATCCAGCGCCTTGTTGCTGAAGACGACCGAGAGTCGCCTCGTTTTCCCTCATCCGCTGAAATCAGGAGGTAAGAAAACCCACGTCCGGGCAGTAAACTCTACCCCATAAAACCATCACCACACAAGCAACATGCAACTCGTTTACAAATCATTCTTCGTGACTAAATTTGACGGATCGTTTCTTTGTTTGTTGGACTGAAATTCTTGGGGGAGGTATTGCGATGGCTTAATGATTACAATCACACGGAAATCTTGATCGCATTACTAACTGGGGAGGAGGGAGGTGACTGCGATGGAGTTTGAACTCGTGGATCAGCGGGAATGGAAGACAAGTTCAGTTACCCCTCTTTATCTGACATGGGGCGAGTGAATGCCAGTTCTCGCCTGTCTACTGATAAACGGGGCCTTTAGGTATGGGGAAGGGTTTAGCCTGAGGGGAAAATTTGCCGATGGAGAGTATATCCAGCGTGAGAAAACGTGAGAAAAACATAAAAGAGGGAAATGGATAGAGATAGGGGAGTCATTGAATGTGAAGATTGTGGATGGACAAGAAGTCTACCGACAAATTCAGTCCATATCTTTGATAAAAAAAAAATTGTATCTAGTGGAAAATCTGGCAAGTGGAAAAAAATGAATATGGAAGAAACAATACAGGCAGGCGAATTGATCATCTGCAGATTTGTTTGTAAATTATCTTCTGTAGTTCACTAATTCATTAATCAAAAAATTAGAAGTCAAGTTTAAAGTTGATAGAAGGCGTTTTCGTACTCCAGGAAGGACAACGTATTTGATTGGTCTTCTCCAATCGATTTGATTTTTCTTCAAACAAACAGCAAGCAGCGAGCATATGACAGCGTGCCATGTGACATTGAGCATGTCACTGAGTGATGTCTTATGTTTTTTCACCATCAATACATTTTTAAATGGTTATTGTCACTGGGTTACTGGTATTGTCCATGGGTGTTACCAAAATTCCAATGTTTCCAATACGTCGTATGAGGGGGTATATTTTCTGTTCAAATTTCAAATCGCTATCTCGATTTTTGCACAAGCTAGAGTGTATACAAATTTTTTTTTTAATGAAAAAACGGGAATATCTTGAAAACTTTGTATGAACAGGTATATATCAGTAGCGAAGTGGTAAAACGTTTTAAGTCGACTTATCTCCCAGTTGAGTTTTTGAAGAATATTTCCGAATCTAAGAGAAATACCGAAATTCTCGTAATTACAATTGTTGTAGCTCTTAATCGGCTCTAAAAAAAAGGTTTCAGTAAAACAGGTAAAACAGGATTTAGTCGAAGTTTAGTGAGGGTTTAGTCGGGGTTTATTTTTCTATTTTTTCCGTGAAATCGTTGTACGCATGATGACTCCAGAAAAAAAGAAAATAGAAAGTGGAAATTTCGTCAGATTATAGTTCATATGATATTGAAATTTGGTATGTTGGATGGGCGCGATCGGATGTGCAGCTTAAATCTCTTTTATTCAATAGCTCAAAAAATATCTCATTTATATAGGTGTACGTGGAAGACAGTGGATGTGTGTGGGTGATATGTGACATGTGAATGAGCATATAAGTATCCATTTGGAATCACACTACGAACGAAATTGGTAGAAATAAAGGGAATAAAAGATATAGTTATTCTTAGGGAGCAGAGCGAGCTGTCGCATGCCTGCTTGTTCTGTCAGTGCAGTAACGTGATATATGATTTCATTATCAAGATATTTATAACGCGGTGAAGATTCATCGCAGGCTCATCTCCATCTTTCATCCAGCCACTGAATTATGGATAAAATTTTCTATCGTGAAATATTTTTCCACTCTACCTGTTCATAATTTCGTATAAAATCCCTCAGTTCTCGTTCTTTATCTTCCAGTGTACTATAGAGAGCTTTCATTTGATTGAGTAGATCGAATTTCTCAGCTTTGAGGCGTTTGCGATCGGTCTTGAGGGCCTGTATGACCTCACGCGAATGCTGTAGCTCCATTTCCAGGGCAACGAAGCGAGCTTCCTCCTCAATGGCTGCATCCTCACCACCAACCTCGCCCCTTGCTGCGCCGCTTAGCAGCAATCGACGGAGTCTCGCAACTTCCGCCACCAGACGCTCATTCTCAAGACGCAATCGACGAGCGCTCGCCAATTCTACCGGTGGCCCTCCATGGAGAGCCGATAATCTGCCAGATACCACTGAATCGGAAAGTCCTGAATTGAAAGGAAATGAGAAAAAAAATGAATCTATTTGCACTATATCTCTATACGTAGGAGAAAAATTTTTCATTTCAATTCGACCTTCAATTCCGGAAAACACGTTTCCTCATTGGTGAAATGTTTGAGATGGGGAATGAGTTAATTAACTTTATGTCGAGAATGTAGGAAAGTTTTTTGCCGTTTTAAACATGGAGTTAGTTCAACAGTTTAATTGGTTCATTTAGAGGGTAAAGTTTCTAAAGGACATTCAAGCTTGTTATGTCGAAAAACGTTCCGCGTTTTCCATGGAAATGAAAAAAAAATTAACAGAATCGATATTATACCTAAGGAACATTAGAGAAAAATTTAAAGGACAGTGCTCAATTTTTTTTGTTAATACTATCCAAAAACACTTTTGCGTGAGTGGTCGTTTGTATTTTCAACGCGTGACATCACTTTTATTACAGAGTAGGGGGCTACGCCCCCTGCTCGCTCCGCTCGTCAACCCCCATATGACCCCCATGATCCTTATTCTGACCCTTAATCTGACCTTCATTATACCCCTCGTGAACCTTATTTTGACCCGTCATTTCTGACCCTTTTTTTTTCGAACCTCATGTCGAGGACAAAATTTGCATCGACAGAAGGCGATTTGGATTTTTACAATATAGAGAGATATTGAGGCCCTTATTTTGACCCTTGTGACCCTTAATCTGATTCTTGTGACACTTATTTAGACCCTTAGTCTGACCCTTGTTATCCTTATTTGGGCTCTTAATCCGACCCTTGTGACCTCTAATTTTGTGAACCTTCATCTGGTGACTCTTAATCGGATCCAGTTCTGACCCTCAAGACCCTTATTCTGACCTTCATGACCCTTATTTTCACCCTTTTAACCCTTAATTTTGGAGTCTTAATTTTGAGTACCAAATTTTTATCACCAGAAATCAATTTGGATTTTTATAATATAGAGAGATAATGTGAAGGATTTCAATTGGTGAAATTATTGGAATTGTCGCAAAGAACATGGGAATATTATTGAAGGTTCAAATGAGAGATCTTTCAATTAAAATTGAAATTACGGTCACACTCGATCTGTTTCGAAAAACGAAATTAGCTGTGTAGGAGTCGAATTTTTAAAAAACAGCTCGTCATTGTTACTGCAACATTTTTTCAAAATTTTTGAAAAAAAACATCTCTGTATTTTCAACATTTTAAGCGTCTGCGGAACAAACGAACAATAAACAATCATTTTTTTGCACTAATTATTCTTTTTTAGACATATAGAATCGCTCTTTAATGCATGAGTAATCTCATTCCAATAGCTCGCGACTTGTAAAACTCAAAGTAATCTCCCCTTAATTTCGATGCGTAAACATCGAAAAGGCTCAGAACAAAAGACCTCCAATTGTACCCCTGCTAGCTTTGAGATTTTCCAACTGAAAGTTTCATATCTTCAATTCGGTCTGCAAGAACCCTACCTGAAGAGTAAGCGAGACAGGGGAGGAATGGATTTTCGTCGTTAATTTATAATTCAACGTGGAAAGGCTTTGGAGTTTACTCACCGAGGGGATTGCTTGGAGATGTGGGTCGGCTTCCGGGTGCTGGGGCTGGTGGCTCATTGTCCTCGTCGGCTCTTCCGTCTCCATCGATTATGTCCTTGCCATCCTTACTCTCGAGTTCATTGGTCTCCTTGTTGCGTATTGACTCACGATTTGTCGTTATACGCAGTCTCTCACCGCTCAATCGTTCACTACCACTGCGTTGGAATAATCCACTGCGATTACGATCTGGACTGGCGCTGCCCGATCTCGAGTCAACACTACCGCCAGAGCCTACCCGTGTTTTGTCTACTGCAGTCCATGGTCTTCTTTTTTCACTGGGACTTCGGTTCGGTGAACCATTTCGTTTTTCTGATTAGACAAGGAATTAACAGAATACCTTAGGTGATTTTAAACAATACGAATTTGAAAAACGAAACGCCAGAAATTTTTGGTTTTATCTGGGACGTGATTTTGATTAATTACAGAAAGATTTCACAACTAATCATTTTTGCGAGACCCCTCGATATGTTTTTTAAAGCCAATTCCTCGTTGATATGCCTCCGTAATTAATGAAATTGATACTTTTTGGAGCTGTTCTGATTTTTGAAAATGATTTTGAAAGTGGTCCAAGTGTTCTAGACTTTTAGAGAACAACACTAAATTTAAGAAAGGGGCATGGAGAATGATAATGAACTTGAAGAAAATTCATCGAAGGTTAAGGTCTATAAAGTTCGCTGTCAATTTCACGGGCTAGGATATTCGAATAATAGCAAGATTTTCAAAATTTGAATAATCATGGTCCAAGATCAAATAAAAAATGTACCACGGAAAAATTTTCTATTTGATCATCAATTTCCCTTCAGTTACATGAAAAATCGCAACTCTTCGAAGAGGTAGGAGACGCACCTAAGACAGTGGGCAGTTGTTCATCTGGTTTTGACGTGAAATCGTGACATTTTGAATAAAAAATGACCGAGATGTTCATTTAAACGGATTTGTTATCCAAAGTAATTGAATTCCATTCTCCCTTTAGCATCTATATTGGATGATTATTATTCCTATCAACCAACGCTTTTGTTTCCAGATTTTGCATATCAATACTCGCGCGATAAATACATATTTGAGACATATATCTCGATTACATGCACATATATGTGCGGCAAAAAATGCAATTCATGCTATTCATGAAAATCGATAAAATTCAATTCACCCATTCCCAACAATAAAAATGTTGTTTACGAAACTTTGTCTTACCAATAGACGGACTCGTTCTACTGCGATCAATGGGACTAGCTCGATCCTTCTTATCACCGGGACTATTTCCACAATTCCCCTTATCAATGGGGCTGACTGATTTTTCGCTAGCCGAGCTCCTCTTGTCAACCGGGCTACTGGAAGCGCTCAGCCGCTTAGTCTCCTCTTGAGGGTTGAGGGCTGGCGACTCACTCCTCACCTCCTGGCTACTCATTGGTGCCGACAAATTGTTGGACGCACCACTAGTTGCGCTTGTAGTTTCGCTACTCGTACTACTCTCGTTGTTATTAGAATTTGACACGTTGCCATTGGTCGCGTGATTGTTGTTTGTTACCAGAGCACCTCGTACCTCACGTAATTCACCACGTAGAGAAGCACACTCGCCCCTGGCACGCTCCAGTTCAGTATCCAGACGGGCACCCGTCGCTGCGTTCTCCTCCACCATCACGCGAAGTTTTGCCTGGTCACAGATCAATTGCGAATTGAGTTTTTTTTCTTTCAATTCGAAGGGAGGATTTTTAAGGGAGAAAAAAAAATTCTCATATATTCCTTAATGAAATCGTTTCTTAAGTGGGGTAGTGAAGAAAAATAGGTCACACAAAATAAACCTAAACTTTAAGCGTAAATGATGTTTAAGAAGTCGTCTTTTACAATTTCTCAAGAGTATTTTACGCTTGATGATGAATCGTAAATTAAGATACGTAAGTGTAGGTTACGATTTCGTATTCATAAATTACAGTTACAGGAACGTAATTTACGAATACGAAATCTTAAATTACGTTCCTGTAACTGTACGTAAATTACGTTTATGTAATTGTAATTTACGGTTTCGTATTCGTAATTTACGATGATTTTTCCCTGTTTTACGTTTATTTATCCGTAATCAACAACGAATTTTCGATCAAATCACGGCGATTCTAGGGTGAATAGGAAGCGTCCAAATATTACAGTCTGAATATAAGGGCCAAAAAGGAAGGGTCAGAATATACAGGTCAGACAGTTAGGGTACAAAAATAGGAGTCAATAATTAAGGATCAAAACGTGATGATTAGAGAAAAAGAAGGTCTTTAATTAACTAACTTTGTCACTTTCATCAATTTCGACACAACCCGAGAATCATTGTGAGCTGCCTAGTGTCTTGACTTGGACCTGACCACAATTTCCACTCGTGTGAAATCGACTCAATTCATTATTTTACGTTATTACCGCCAAAAAAAACTAAAAGGAATGATGACATTGCAAGAATGGTGGAAAGTTATCTGTAACATCAAATTTTCGTACTGTTCTGTACTGATACCCTCTATCGTATTGAATGTTTGAATCTCGATTGAAATCTCTATTATTATTGAGATAATGATGATTTCTGTGGTCATTCTCTCTCTCTCTCTCTCTCTCTCGCTCACTTTCACAATCAATTAACCAGAGATGCATCAAATAACTCTCCATTCCCTGGGATTTCCGCACCACTGAATTAATAGCCAATAATTTTTATAATTCATAGACCTGCCACTATTATAATTTACAATGAGCTTCGGTTTTTTCCGTTGGAATAATCAGCTAGCATAATCCGAAAACTTGATGGGTCTGTCGATGGGATTAATTGATCGCCGGCTGGTGAATTAATTGAGGGAGGAACAAGCGAAGGTGGTAGGCGCTTGAATATTCTGAATTTATCGGAGATTACTAGATAGCAGAAAATTTGAATTTTTCCCCATTCCCAATACTCCATAACAAAGACTATATCGCCCTTACCACTCCCCCTCCCCCTGTCATTCAGTGAGAGTGAAAATCTTTTTATACGTCCTTGCTGATAGACCGGATAAAATTGGCAGGGAAATGGAATTTTCTGATGGTCAGGGTCTTGAACGTGATGACCCATGATTGGAAAATCATCCAGAAGGACTAAATGTAGCGCAATAATGTTTGGATCGATCGTACATGCCACATAACACATGCGCGGTTGTAATAAACCAAATTTCGTCCATCTTCAGGAGATTTAATGGAAATTATTCTGATAGGAAAAATTGTAGAGACATTATAGCTGCACGAGAAGCCGGTGTTTTAGACGTTTTAAAGAGTTAATTATAGCACAGTGTAGTAATTCCATTGCACTACTGAGTTATGTGCGTCTGTCACGCGTGAGAATGAACTTTCGCTCAGACTGTTGCGGGCAGATGGCACGGCTCGACACGCTGCCTCAAATCAACCGCACATTACCTCCATTGTTCAACAATTAACTCCACAATAAAACCTCAACCAGAAAATAATCAACCACTAATTCCACCATGGAAACGTGACAGATGTCAATCAATTGTTAATAACTATTACTTTGTGAGAAAAGGCTTCTTCTTGACTTGTTGAATACAGAACCACTTCTATCCGGCGAAAGCCTCTCGTTTTAGACGAGACCGGAGATTTGCGGACATGTGCCAGGGGAAAGACGTTATGAAAATAGACGTCGCGCTGTTTCTCTCAGAAATACGGGTATTATTATATACTCCTCATTTTAAAGAACCGATGACCGACTTTTCTAATAGTTACTTATTTTGCATTGTTGTTGAAGAGCTGGACAGTTGAGTTTGGAAGTCATTTTGCGTTCTATTCTTTGAAGGAAGAGCGGTATTCGTAATGGAAATGGAGAGAATTCTCAACTACAATAAATACATAATAGTGTATTTATCTTTGAGTTTTTTTCACATATACACCCAGAAATATGTTTTTGCTTGCGAACGGAAGCATTGTAATCGTTCAAATTTAAATTTTGGATTGTTTGTGTTATATTGATCATTCAAAGAATTCCACCAACCACCCTGTCGCCCTCGTTTTTATTTATATGAAAACAAAATCCCTTTTCAACCTTCATGACCCCCAGTTTTCTCTCGACAACATCTATACACATGTTTTCATAGTAACCATTCGCTATGATTTGAATAGCATTCTTTCAATTGAAATGAAATGTGAGCGCGCGTGATGCAGCGTAGAACTTTCAGTTAATCACAGATATGAATAAAAATGAATAAAATAAGGAGAGAGGACGAGGAGATAACCCTCGTCCATTTCGATTAATTACACCCATTCACCTTCAGACTGATTTTGTATATCTCATTCATTTTTAATGTTTTTAATCGGCTTACATCGTACGACTACGTGATCTATAATGGCGTCTGAGCGTCTTTTTTCAACAGAAACGAGGGAACGACTTCGAACGATGTGTCCCAGGCCAACACGGGACAAAACTCTGTGAGTTCTGCACGCGATATACCGTTATGCACGTAATTCTTTGAAGCCGAAGACCCCAAAAATTCTCACTGTACCAGTCTGTTTCACAGGCTGGTACAGTGAGGATAGGGTGAACGAGAGATTCAATGGGTCCTCAAATATGTGCAGTATGTGTGAGTGGGGCACTGTTAGAAATTTTATGAAATTTCATGGAAAATGTGGTAGTAATTCTCATGGGAGCGACATTGAATCCGATTTAAGAGAAAAATGGTTATGAAATTTCAAGTTTAAGGTAAAATTCAAGGAAATTCATGAGTTTTCAGTGGCAGTGAAACAGAAATTTCATAAGTTGACTGAATTTTTAATGGAATATGAATATTCAGAACCAAAATTACAGGAATTTTCACTTTTCTCCTGAATTTTACAGAGTTTTCTGAAGTTTCACGGAATAATTGAACTGAAAAATCAAGTATTTTATTGATTTTCATATCATTCGAATAGAAAATCAATGGAATATTTGATTTTTCAATGACGAGAATTCCTGAAATTTCGATGGAAATGGAATATGATAAAAATTTCCGGGATTTGACACGGAAAATTCAGACGAAAATTTTTAACAGTCTATGGTCTTATACTAATTGCACTAGTAGGTTAATAACGATGCTAGTGGTGACAGAATACTGGTCAATCCACTAACGACTAGCTTCTAAAGGTTCCAACGAACCTACATGAACAACGGGACCACCATGACACTAAGCTTTGGCCGTTTTCAACCTTTGTGATTACCACAATAGTGGGGATTTTAATCGAGATGAGTGCTACCTACAGGTAAAGCCCTCAGTGTCCTACGTAATGCAGACAGGGAACGTTAACGAACGTACGTTAATCTCGTTTCACTCTTCCCGTTCCTGTTGGCTTTCTATCAGAGACGGCTCCCCTCATTTGCGTCACCGCAGGTTTTTTTTGTCGATCTAGATACCTTCGACATCGGCATGAGAATGAGAAATCCGGAGAGAATAATTTTTTTTTCGATTTTTGGGTTTTCCGGGAAAACTGCATTTACGTTGGAGGGAATTTAATTAAGTTTCAATTCCAATGTTGAATTAATTGAGGACGATCGATTTAAATTTTTTTCTGATGGGATATTGAAGAATCTTATTGATTTTGTTGGAATCTTATTGATTTGCACAATATTCAATAATTTTGTCATTGAAGTTAAGGAAAATAAGAAGAATCTTAGAATATCCAATGTGAGTAAATTTGGGAGAGATTATGAGTGGTTTCGTGGCAGAAAAATTTGTTAATTAATGCACACTGAGAGAAATGTCGACATAATATCACAAAACTAATTTTTGCGTCAAAAATCTCATCTCTTAAGGATAATACGCTTGGGATAAGAATTCCGCTTAACGAGTCAGAGCGGGTAAAAATCCCGTGAAATGTTCATTAGTTGAAGACGAACACTTGGCGATAAAGTGACAATTTCTTGCCTCAAGAAATCATTTATTTCGTGTCAAAAGACGAGAAAATTACTAAAAATACTAAAAGTTTCAATTCAGCGAACCATGCATCAGAAACTTTCATATTGAATGAATACCGAATTTTTACAGGGGAGAACCTGCAGATAATTAAAAAATATAACCGTCACTTGCTCTCAATTGGAATGACTTTCAAGGAAAGCAATAACATCTTCTCCTTCTCTCAAACTTACTTTGTCTCTTCAAGAATATTATCTAATTTCGAGAAAAAAATATCATTTTTTCAGTCAGTATCATCGTCCTTTTACCTGAACAGCCCCAATTTCTTGTCTGAAACCTACCATGAAGTGATCGAACATGCATTCTATGTTCTCCATTCAAGAAATTATTTTTGTCATATTATATCAATTTTTCTCTCAATGTGGTGGAGAATTGAACCGACAATCACGTGAAAATTAAATTGTGTGATTTGCGATATCTTTACGAAATCGAACACAGATAAGAGTATTGGGGGAGAGCCGAGCGGAGTGATTACAACTGTCAAGTGAGCTTATGTGTTAAACGAGAGAGACGAGCAGATCGATCAAGAGGGTCAAGCCAAGGGATCATGCGCCCCTTTTGAATAAACTGATGTTGCACATCATGAGCGAAGGAGTACTTTTTGTGTGATGACGATGGATGGAAACGTCGAAGTTCTCAGATCAATCATAGGACTCATTAAAAATTAATCCTTGAATAACAATGAATAAAAAAATCTGGAGCG